AGCAGTCACCAAACACCCCGTTTTTTGAAAAGGCAGGCCCTCTTAGAGAAGGAACCGGGAAAATGGGGAGTGGTTTCAGAACTTATACACTCTCAAGGCTGGATCTGGGGACTCTTATGGTTTATCCGTGACGGAGTTTTATCAAGTGCGCGCTCTACCCGCGCAAGGCAGAAGCAAATGCCGGACCCTGCGGAAGAACCTGATCGAGCGCTGGCGTGGCTTCTGCCGAAACTCCTGAACGACGTCACAAATGCGAAGATGTGGCCACTCAAGCTGGCCAAGTTTAAGCACCAAGAAAGCTTGCGCCACATGTCCGCACTAGTGGCTTGAACCATGCTTTGCGTTTGTTTGCCTCGTAATGATGCGCGGATGAGGTGACACTTTGACTGTCCACGCGCGCACTATGGAAGAAACTTTTTTTTCAGTTGCAAGCGCTCTCGGCAAATCAGGCTGGGATAAACGGATTTTGATGGCATACGAACAGAATTGACGAACCAACCAGTACGTGGAACTCGCAGGACTGGGACAGAATTGCTGAGTTGATTCCGGAGATTTGCGAAGCACGCGATCACTATCATGATGATGCGGAAGTCGCCAACCAGATTTGCAACCAGAAGGGCAAGAAAAGAGTCAAGGCAGGGCGTTGCAACCCCCTTCCCCCCACCTCAACCTCGGCTGCTCGTGCTGGCATGCTTTGGCAGGAAGATTCCTTGGCCGACGATGAGTGATGCGGGTCGTGCATTGTTGGGACGTCACAAACAAAAGAAAAAGCATTTCAAGGTCCACCCCCGTTTGCTAAAGCTTGAATGGAAATGGACACCCTTGCGGTGACGGTCCCAGCCAACAATGCCTCATATATAGGGGTGTTTGCGTTGCTTGGCCAACGCAATTAGAATGGGGGGGCGTGAAAGCACGCCTCTTCGTGGGTGCGGAGGGGTGTCCGGCTGGAAACACAAACGCGCGTGCGCCTTGAAAAGCATCATGTCGAGCCTGATATGGTTTGAGCTTGGTCCGAGACTCTGTTTGTCAGGACTTTCTCACCCGGGAAGCAGCTTGGATGAGTGCCAGGACTTGGGTTTGGGCTTTAAAAGCATACTGCAATAGAGTTTGAACCTGAACTCTTTGAACAACGCCTTGGCAAAAGCATATGATTGCCCTGCCCCTTCAGGAACAAATGTTCTTCACCCGACCAGCTCTGAAAAATAAAGAAAACTGGATGCAATTCATATAGAATCTAACTGCGCCGAAGCTCACGCATACAAAAAGTTTCGGGACCGAAGTACAGCTATTGAAGTGCTATTTGTCAGGACCCTAACCAGATTGAAACAAATGGAAAAAGGCCGCTCGGAACTTGCTAGCGCAACCGCGGCCCCCCCTGAGGTTCCGGCAGATCCATCAGAGCGACCTCAGCTGAGGCCGTATAACACGCCGCGCATCAACGCGGCAAGGGCTGCCGCAGTCCCATCCAGAAGGGAGCAAGAGGTGAAGCCCTTTGGGGTTCTTCTGGTTGAAAGCTACGCTACAGGGAAAAACAGTGCCTGCCAAGAACCCTGGCTGGGAATTAACACGTTTTAGTGGTTAGTTCAGACCTCGGTGAACTTCAGTGGCGTAAACTTAATGTTGGCAACTCACGGGTCCTCAACACTTGTTTGCTTCAGAAAGGGTGACGCTCTTGCTTTATCAGTTTTTTTGAAAAAATAAAACGCAGGAAACCAGGAAACCGAACATGTGTGAACATGTCGGCAAGCAAGTGCCTGCCGCTCGGCCTGCGAGGTTCAGCAGACAGCAGCTTCTGCAGTGGCATGGTGCAAAGAGCGTGGCGGGTCTGTTACTGACGCTGATCTTGTTCAGCGGGTGGCCCAAACAGGCACAGGCGGACGATACAGCGGCAATGTGGAGCGGGACTTTCAAACATTGATCCGGACTTTTCAACAGCGTGTGGGTGCAAACGTGTCTTCTGTTCCGTCTCGCATGTGGAACCCTCAGACATCCCAGGTAGTTACAAAGGAGTTGGACGTCATATTTCCTGACGACATGGCAGCCGCCCTTTGGGCCTTGTCGCCTGAAGTTTTCCAGAGTTGCCTGCTGGGTGACGGGTCGGTTGCGGAGTATTGGGCGCATGTCCGGTCATCTGCGTGGTTTTCAACGCACCCTGCGAAAGATGAACCTTATGATTGGGGGAAGGTGATTCCCCTAGGAGTATATGGGGATGAAATTGTGGCATACCGCAACAGTGAATGTGGGACAGTTTCGATTGTAGGATGGTGTTCTGATCTGGCAACTACTCTTCCATTCATGCAGCGATACTTTTTGATTGCGTGCTACAGCGAACACGAGGAGTGTTTTTTCACCTACAGCGACATCATGACGAAGGTTTCAGAACGGATTTGTCAAATGGTTGCTGGGTCTCAGTCACGCAGGTACCCTTGGGAACAAGCTGGCTTTCATTTTGTGATGTCAAGCCTGCACGGTGATCAAAAATGGGTCGTGCAACACTATGGTGGTATACACAATTTCCGGCAAAACGAGTTTTGTGGAACATGCTTGTGCGTTAAGACCCACCGCTTGCTTTCGATGACGCTTGCCGATTTTCGCAGAGAAGCACTGCACGCAAACACCATGCGGGTGTATGACACCCAAGACCTTCAGCGCACGTGCGTGCTGTACTCAATACCTGGCTGCCACCCACAACGGGTGATGCATGATATTGCCCACTCACAGTATCTTGGCACGGGAAAAGTACTCAACGCTTCTTGCTTGGTTTTCCTGTGCGAGAGTGGGATGTGGGGCGATATGTCTGGCGGTCGCTACGACGAGAAGCTGCAGGAGAAACTTCGAGCAGCCCAGGGGCTTTTTGCAGTGGAAGAAGTTGCACAAGCTGTGCGCGAGCCAGCCTCGCTTTACATGCGCGCGTGTCAACAGGAAGCATCGCACAATGTGGCCGGTGCTTAACTCTAAGGCAGTGGCCTCCAAATGTGTGAGCTTTTGGTTAGCGCATCTCGCGGCGGAGTGGGCTGCACGGCCAGACGCTAACATAGAGGACAGAACTGTGTCTGTGTGCGTGTTCTCCTACTGCAAGGCGTTGAATATTATGAAAGAGGGCGGCGCTATTTTGACAAGGAGCGAGGCGAACCAATTTTGCACTTTGATGTTGCTTCATCTCCAATCTTACGCCTGGCTTCACAAGCAATCTTCGTTCAAAAGGGGAAAGCAAGTGGGGCGACGGTGCTGGATGCTTTTACCCAAGCACCACCACCTGTATCACCTAGCCTTGGCGACCGAAGCTGACCAAATCAACCCCAGATCGGCACTGTTGCTTTCAGCAGAATCCTGGATGGGCAAAAATGGAAGAATAGCAAGGGCAACCCACCGAAGCACAATTTCATCACGGACCATTCAGAGATACCTGCATTTAGAACTCTCCCAGCTGAGGCGTCGGCTTTGTAGTAGTCGGGCATGAAGCTCTCCACAGCCAGCAAAAGAGCTGCGGCACTTCTGGCACTTGGTTACGGGGCCCTCAGATTGAGGGGTCGTGACCATTGGACCCTCCACAAAAAGTCCCCGAGGGCCCGAGCATGAACGACGCCCCGAAAGGAGTTGGGATCCTTAGGGTGGAAAATTTTCGTAGTACCAAAAGTGGAGTTACCCGCATGCGTTACCCACGTGCGACAAGCGCGAAGGGTACTTTTCCCCGGGCTCGCGACGGTCTCGGCATGCTGTCGGAAAGTTGCCCTATGGCACGGCCGCGCAAGGTTTCGCTAGGTCTGCAAAGCTTTCGCAAGGTCAGGCGCAGATTTCGTGGCAGGAACGGCATTTTGTTCTCATGGGCATCAGAGTTCGTGACAGGCACAGCACTTTGGGACGGTCAGCCGCGCGGTTTGCAAATCGCATTGCGGACGCGCGAACTGCAGCGGCCGATTGCGTGGCAGGCGCCGGATTTTCGCACTCTGAGGTGCAGATTTCATGGCAGTCACAAGCACTTTTGCAAGTTCGAGTACAGATTTAGTGGCGGGCGCTGCACTTTCTTTCGTGGCCGGCGCAGCACTTTCACAAGGTCAGGTGCAAATAGATAGATTGATAGATAGATAGATGGATAGATGGATACATAGATCGTATGGAAAGAGAGACACAGCGAGGCAGAGAGAAAGAACGAGAGAGAGAAAGAAAGAAATAAAGAGAAAGAAAATGGAAAATAAGAATGAAAGGAAGAAAGTAAGAAAGAAAGAAAGAAAATACATAAACAAAAAAAGAACAGAATAAGAAAGAAGGAAAGAAGGAAAGTAGGAAAGTAGGAAAGAAAGAAAGAAAGAAAGAAAGAAAGAAAGAAAGAAATAAAGAAAGACAAAAGAAAGACAAAAGAAAAGAAAGAACGACAGAAAGACAAGGAAGGAAGAAAAGAAACAAGGAAAGAAAGAAAACGGAAAGAAAGCAAGAACAAACAGGAGCTCTTTCTAATTCTCGCCTTTCTTTACTCCCGTCATTCTTTCTTCCTTTCTTTCTTTCTGGCTTTCGTTCGTTCTTTCTTTCTGTCTGTCTGTCTGTCTGTTTCTTTCAGAGAGGAGAAGACAAGAGAAGGAAGAAAGATGAAAATACAGAGAAAGAGAAAGAAACGAGAAGAGAAAGACATAGGAAAACAAAAGGAGCAAGAGAGTGAGGAGAGAAAGAGAGAAACAGAAGGACATGAGAAAGAGTGACCAAGAAGAGGGAGCATCTCTTATCTTATCTTCTTTCTCTTCTCTAAGTATCTCGTGTCTTTTCTTCTCTTTCTCTTTCGCTTTCTCTTCCGCTTTTCCTTCCTCTGTCTCTTTCTTTTCTCTGCCTCTTTCTCCGTCCACGAAAACAATTTATCTCCTATAGGCACATCATTGGTTAGAAACTTCCGCCATCGAGCTATGGATTTATATTCTGATTTGTGTGGTGCCATATGGTTTTTCGCGGTGTCACATATGCTGAATCGGGTACGCGCCGGAAGTGGCTCTCTGGGCTAAGAGTTCCGAGTCCTTGCTCATGTCCAGGCTCAGTGCAAGCTCCAGCAAACACCAGCTTCGCCCTGAGAGGTTTGCCAGTTCGGCCGAGAGCCCCGCGTCCCATCTCTTTGATCGGCCTGTTGCCACGCCGGTCCCGTCCATTAAGAAAACCTCGGATCACCACGACTACGACGATTGGAATGGCCCAAAAGGATGGGAGCGAAGTTGCTCGAAGATTCGAAGATTCACTACCAAAGAGGCCACATAATTCATCTCAGCTCATCTCAATTCATCTTAATCCCATAGTGAATCTCCGCAAACGGCCACAAATGATCAAGACAACTTTAATCTCTAAGGGCTGTCCGTTATGCCTTGGACTTCGAGGGGCGGTGCCGATGCACTTGGGGCTGATCAGCACCTAGCATTCCATCGATGTCTCAGAGCTGGGCGTTGAATTGAAAGCTCATGCCTTCAAAAATGGTGCTGCTTCCATCACGCTAGGCACTGGGAAGAGCTGCTCTGGGTCGTGCCTCATTGTGTTGGATGTGTTGGATGTGTTAGGCAAGCAAAGCGCAGCCAGGGCGTGAGCAGGCACAGCGCGAAGGCGTCCAGCCACATCGCTGCCGGTTTCTTGGCCTTTCGCAAAGCTCACAGTGTTCCAAGTGTTCCGCATGTGGCCGGCGCTGGCCTGGCGTTGGTCTCCGTGGTATTTCAGCATGGCAGCCTGTTCCAATCAAAGCTTATAGAGCATCGGAAAGACAGGCCTGCGCAATGCTGGGACTCAGGCGGTCTGCATCAAAGGAGTGCCCCACCTGACAAAGATCGGTTTAGAGATCCCTCAAAACCAACAGCTCTTAGGCCAAGATGCCAGTGGCTCACAAACCACTTGGGCACCTCACCAGGATCCATGGCCCTAAGGCTCGAAGGCCCATCCCAAAGGTCTCCCTCCTGCGGCTCTGTCGCCACAAGCTCGGCGAAGGAGCAGCGGAAGCTCCGGGTCAGCGGCTTGACAAACATCTCTGTCGCCCGGTACCTGAATCCAAGGTAGAAATACTGCGAGCAAAACATTTATCATGTATATTTTTCAGATTCCTCAGAGCTGTTGTTTTGCATTCTGACACAACCTCAGAATAGAAACAGGACAGAGGTAGATTCAAACTGGATTCAAGATTCCCGAAAAAAGTTTGGCCTAAAGCTGTCAGATTGTCTATGACATGCGCCCTTTTTGCTGCTTTCCCCATAGCCTGAATAAAAGGCTGAAAACACTGCACATACCTGTGATTTCCAAAGGAAGGTAGATCCATGGCGGGGGAGTACCATGTATTTGTTTATTTAATTACTTGTGTATTTATGTGTTTATCTATGTGTGAAACTCATGCATGCATGTATATATGTATGTGCGTACGTACGTATGTTTGCTGTATGTACCACGTATAGTACAACCATATTCGGCGGTGCTTTACTGACGAGCAACATACTGGCGTAACGACCTAACTGCAAGTGAGTTTGATGGTTTGATGCCTGTGGCTTTGGCTGCGTTGACAAGAAGCCACCGCATTGCAGTCATTGCAGTCATTGCAGTCGGGCGCGCATATCTACCATTCCCCAGCTCAGCCGTTCTCCACCTTGGACCGGAGCCTTGTCCAAGACCTCGAGAGACACACACACACAAACACACATTGCACTTCTCCAGCCCGGGCAACACCCTGAATGGGCGCCTCTTTGATAAACACGATCAAGTCATCCAACTGCACATGTTTTGCGATTGAAAGTTCGCACGCAGGTCTAACTGCAATGCAGGAAACAAGCCTGGCTTCGGAAGATGCCTCTCCATTCGGCCTGGCATGGGACAGCCCAAGCTCATTTCCCAATAAGCTTTCAGCTAAGTTCAAAGTGCGAGAAGCTTCCAGCCTTCTCGATGGAAGTTCTTTCCACGAACGCCTGAGGTTTCAAGCAACTCGCATGCCGATGGAGGGGCCCTCGGGCCTGCGGCACGGGCATGCCTGCCCAAGGCGTAGGGATCGCCTGAATCAAATGCGAAGGAAGAATCGAAGAAGCAAAGGGACTCTGAAACTTGCTTCGATTGTTTCGATCGATTATGAAATGCACCAGCATAGGCCCCAGATAGCACACCAAGGCTACGAGCCATGACGCAGCATCATAATGGTTCCCGCGGCACGATGATGATGTTGACAGCATCTTGATGATGTTGACAGCATCATGAAAATACCACAGCTACTCAGCATAGTGCGCTACATAGACGCGCAGACGTCGTCCTAGTGAGTCCATCAGCAAAACAATGATGTTGACAGGGTGATGCTGATACACCAGCCACGAACGATTCCGCGCTACATATCTAGCAAAAAAAGCAGAGACGACGTCCTGATGAGTTCGACAGCATCATGATGATGCGGACAGCATCATGATGATGATCACAGCGTCACGGCAATGGCAAACGCAGCATCCTGATGATACCACAGCCACGAATCATCTTGCGACAGTAATGAAATTCAGCATCACCCTGACGTTGACAGCATTATGCCCGCCACCACACCCGCGAACCATAACGCGGCACCGCAGCGATTGCAGCAGCATCATAACGCGGTTGACAACATCATGACGATACACAAGCAACAACGTCCGAATCGGTTCAACAGCATGATGCTGCGGCCAGCAGCATGATGATGCGACAACCATGATACCCCAAACAGCACCCGCCCTAGCACCCTGCCATCCATATGCGCCCGCACCATCACCAACACCGGAAAACAGCAGCCCCAATAGCACCCCAACGCAGCACCCCTGAGCACCCTGCCGTCACGTACTGTCACCAGCACCTGAACTGAACAGCACTCATTAGAAGTCTATGGTTTCCAGTTATCCGGGAAATAAGCCCAAGCGGTCAGCAGCACCTCCAACAGCAACACAAAACAGCACCTGCACCGCCACCCCAAAGCGCGCGGCCGTCAGTTTCGCAAAGCGGCACCTCCACCAGCACCCGAAACTGCATGCCCCCTAGCAACCCGCCGTCAATCTCGCAAAACAGCACCTCCACCAGCACTCCAAACTACATGCCCCCTAGCACCCGGCCGTCAATCTCGCAAGACAGCACCTCCACCAGCACCCCAAACTGCATGACCCCTAGCACTTGGCCGTCAATCTCGCAAAACAGCACCTCCACCAGCACCCCAAACTGCATGCCCCCCAGCACCCGGCCCTCAATCTCGCAAATAACTTTCCCTTCTTTATTAGAAGTTAGAACCCCTATAGCTTTCAGCTATCTGGGGAATATACTTCTCTTTGAATTGTACGTATGAGAACTCAAGAGCCTCACATGGCCTCCTCCACGGGCTCAGGCCTTGAGCCTGTGATATAGTCCACAAACCTCGGTAGCGAGCACAAATTGAATGCACAGGTTTTGGCGGTGCAAACTTGGCCAAGCAGCTCATTGAAATCCAGTTGACCACTCCCATCCTCACGCACCCTACCTCACACACAAAAGCGCATGTCCCTGCCTGATCCAGGGATTTGAAGAGGAGTTGTAGCTCCTTCTGCAAACTGCTTTGGGTGCGCAAATTCCAAAATCAACGTGATTTGATCTGGCCGACCATCCACACGCAACATACACTCCAGCAAGATGCGCTCCCAACATTCACGGCTCTTAGAACAACAAGGTCGAATCACTGCGGTTGCAGGCCACCTCCGAGTATTGAACGATCGCGGGGATTTTCCAGTCATGTGAGTTCAGAAGAATCCGAATCATCTGCATGGGTGCCGTAAAAAAAGAAGCTTTCAAGCCACGGATGCCACTGAAAACAATACCAACAGAAACCTGTCGCAAAGAAGCAATATACTTCTTCCTTGAGAAGAGACTTTTGCACATCAGCAAATGGATTTCCTGGGTGTCTTGCTTTCCCACTGGCGATGCTCTCTTTCTAGCCCATTTCGGGGCAGGTTGCACGGCAGGGGTTCGATTGCGTGACAAAAGGCTGTGAGAGGTCCCTTCTGTTTTCAGAGATCACCTTCATCCTGGGGAGTCTTCTCGCAAAGGGGTGGATGCTTGCACTTGTGCATGTAATCCGAGAGAAGTGGTCCCCTCCTGCTCACCCATGTCCGGGTTCCCTTTGCGCAGGAGCGTGGCAATCTCCTGATCGAAATTGGCGCCTCTCAATTGCATTCCGAGGCGCATTCCGAGGCGCATTCCGAGGCGCATTCCGAGCATTCCATTGCATTCAATTCCCGGGCGCCATTCCCAGGCCCACTCCTCGCGGCTCAGCTTCCCATCGCTATTCTCGTCCGCGCGTCGGAACTCCTGTGGTGAGTCGCTGTGATTCGATGTGATTCGAGTCAAATCTGTCCTCTTTGCACCTCTCCGCGGTTAGCTGTTCCTCGTGTGCTCTACCATGCTCTACCCACCCCCCGCAAATCCAGATGCAGATCTGCCGGCCTTCGACTTCGCCTTCTGCAGCTTGCTCTTGTCGCTGCCCGAGTTTAGGTATCTGGTAAGAGCCAAATGATCCAAATGAATCTCTACAAGCAATATGAGCCATGCTTAGCTGTTGCAGGACTTGTCTGGCCTGGCAAACTCCTTGAAGTCGACCTTGGCTAGCAGCTCAACTTCAATGAATTCAGCACAAGCGCAAAGGTATTGAATCTAGGTACTCAAACGCAAACATGCACTTAGCGGCTGTGAGGTCGCCGTTGGTATCGATCTCTCGGAACAAGACCGCCAACTGCGGAGCACCGGCTCTTGCCATACTCACTCGTAACATCTCGTAACAGTATCAGTGGGTGTGCTTGTAATAATTAGATATAATTAGATATAATTAGTATTAGGAAGCGGTGTGTGCACCGTACTGACGGGGGCGAATGCAATCGGTGCCTCTTTGTCAGTCAGGTCCGGGTTGCCCTCCCGCAGGACCATCGACATCTCCGTGAAGCTGAGCAAGCCACTGGCATCTGCATCCGCACCTGACGATGGATGCAGATGGTTACGCACATGGCACAAAGTGACTGTTCAGCCTCAGAACTGAGCTGAAACGCTAAGCCATCCACTACGAAATATGTTTTGCAGCTCCTGAATGGGCTTCCCGAGCGCTCGCTTGGGACGTGCTCCCAAAAACTGTCCTTCTTCCTCTGATTGCTGAGGCCTGGCAACGGCCCCGGCATGAGGCGAGGAACGGGCAAGGCACTTGGCCTCTCGGCTTCTTTGGCGGCATCGCTTGGAATGCAAATTTGCTGATTGCAGTCTTGACAGTAGGTGACTCCCAAAAAACAATAGCGACTTAGCTCAGATCAGAAGCTCAGACCAGAAGAAAGCTGCTCTGTGGACCCATGTGAATATGGCTTGAACACGAACCTGGCACAGTTTGTGGGAAATATGCCGCGGGACCCGTGTCAATGCATATGCGCGCTTGTTGGATTGGAGCGTGAAGAGACACTTTGCCTCGAAGCTGAAGGTAAAGCCCAACTTGGCAAAACTGACAAGCCACTGAAGCCCACGGCGGTTTTGAATGAGCCATGTCCTAAACGTGTCTCCACGTGTCATTCACGACGTCACGACGTCACGATTTGCTAAGTCGTATCATTTTGATTACGCACCTTACGCGCGAGTCTTTCCTTACGCGACACATTTGGAGGTTTTGCTTGCGCCACTAGCTTACGCCACGTGGATTTTTCTTACGCACAGGTCGATATGACACGACTCTTACTAACCATGCGCACGGAGGTTTTGGACGCCGCTCAGACTTGAATTCTCTAGCGCCTTCTCTCAATCTGTTACATGTTACAAGATGGCACATTTCCCACGTTGGTTTTCTCATCCCTTTTCCGTGTACTTTCATCCTTCGCTGAGCGATTCATCGGGCTATGGTACAGTGCTATTGACGATGCCAACATCCGGTCCGTATTCTCACCCGCTAAGGCAAAAGTCAAGTGCCCAGACTGCTTCAGCTTCTTGCATCAGATTCATTCAGATTCACTGACTCATCACACGGCTCTCGCAGCATTGGTTCTTTGTCTATCAGCAAGACCTTTCCACGTGCCCTTCAGGCTGTTGGTGGCCTGCAAGTGCGATGCTACCCAAGTTGAAAGCACAAAGCGCACAAAGCACACAAAAGGCATGCAAATCGAGCGCTCTCCTTTTTTGCGGAAGTCTGAACTTGAAACGACCGAAAGGCCTCGTCTGCTAAGCAGCCGAAAAAGTCGGGCCTCCAATTTTGCGCAGCTCCGAAGCTCTCCAAAGTCTCAGATCGCCACCCGCTGAGCTCAGCATAGACTGCATAGATCACCGCATTGGGGCGCAGAGCCTGTCTTCATGTCTTTTTATGTCTTTTTGTCGTGTCTGTCTCGGGCATTCATTGCGTCACAGGGAGGCCTTGCGCTGCATCTCCGCCAGCCTGCGGGGATGTATGGCTCCAAGTTGGAGGGAGCGAAGCAAGGAGCACAAAAGACAACTGCTCAAAAAGAGCATGGCACAGGGCTCTGGGGGTGCGACAGCGTTGTGGCCACATTTTTCTGCAAGGAATGGGCGCAGGCAGACACCTGTGCTCAGCTCAAAGCACGCAACGGCTTGGGTGTCGATCGGTCTGCTCAGGCGCACTGATGCAGTGAAGGTGGTAACCTTGGGCCAACGAATCCCACGGTCAAAGCGATCTCAAATAGCCCAATTCCCAAACTCTAGCCGGCGCTGTTTAGCGCATCCCATTGCCGAATCCGGGCTGCAAGCCAAACTCAGCCGCCCTCGCAGCATTCAGGAAACAAACAACTTAACAAACCCATGGCCTTCGGGCCTGACGTGCGCATTGGCACGGGGCAAGGTTACGCCACTTTGGCACTATACACGCGCTGAAGAAGCCAGGCGTCGCTTTGCTCAATCCCCCTACGGCCAGCGCGTGTGCGGGATGCGGGGGTCTGCGGGCCTTGGGCAGACGGGAGGGCGGCATGGTGTTCAAGTCGACTGGCCTGGCCTCAGCACCTCCCACTGCACATTGGAGGCCCAAAAGCCCAAGCAAGGAAACACTTCGTCTTCTAAATCCGACGCCATCACCTCAGAGTGAGCAGACTTCATGCAAGCCGCGCAAAGCGCACGACTGGGCAAACTGCAGACAGAGTCGCATGTGAGGAGCTCTCTTTGCTTCTGTGTACGAGTTCACCATTGTGGATGAAGATAAGGTTTTGGCCCTGTCGAAGGACGCCAATCACCTGATCACGTACAGGTGTCATGCTTGCATCTGCATCTGCTAAATCGCATCGAGGCACATCACCTTGGGCGACTTTTTCCGAGCCAAAGTTTGTGCTCCTGACAAAGGCAACCCAGAAAGCCCGCCGATGTATTGCTTCGCTATGGCTAGCTTGGCTAGCTGCCTTTCCATGTTGCCCCCGCGATGGCGGCAGAATTGGGGATGTGAAGGGTTCCACACCCAGGCCTGTCTCACTATCTGCACAACTTGCATGACGCCCATTCTGCACTTTCCGTGGCGGCCTGCCAGCTGTTCAGCGAATCTGGCGAGGTTGCCACGCCGATGTACACAATGCTGCCGGTATACCTTATATGGAAAACGATCTTGGGCATTGAAATGCAAATGTCTCATGGAGGAATGGCGTGAAACTTTTTCCTCAAGCTATCCAGCTATCCGGCATTTGAAGACGAGCCCGGTGCCAAGTCAGGCATGCGTAGAAAGTGCCGTTCTCTGCGGACAGGGGCTGCGAAGCCACCGCGAAGGATCTCGCATCTCGCAGGCTGCGCACCTCGCGAGCAAAGAAACGAAAGATATTCAAAGATATGCCAAGACTTCTTCAAGATACGCAAAAATATGTTCAAATAATTTCAATATGCAAAGATGGAAGGGAAAGGAACGCTTTCGATACACAGGACAAGCCGCTTCCGCTCCATTCGATAGGAACTCGATGGAGTTACCCACCACCCGCGAGCTGTCAAACTTCAAGCGGCGCCGTGGTCGATTCTGGGATGTGTCTAGCCTGCAACAAGAAAACCTGGAATTGCTAACTGCCACCGGATGTGACTGCATTAAGTGACAAGCCGGTAATTGCCATCCTGCATGGCATCTAGCCTCGGATTTGAGATTCACCGCTTGCTTGGTCTGCAACGGTTCCACCAAGACACAATGCCTTTGTGGCTTCCGGTGTCTGCATCAAGGGGTCGTTGCGCCTTAATTCTCACATTCTACGCCCCTCTGCGTGTAGAAACCTTGCCGCTAAGCAAGTCACACTTGGAGTACATAGCCCCTTGGCATAATCCTCAGCCATGTCCATCGCAGGGTAACACACAATGCAATGGCATGATAGCGCTGCCAAAAGGCGGAAATCTCACTTTGGAGAGCAATGCCTCGTGCAGTTTGTCGGTCTGTAATTTGCAAAGTGAGCAATTTGTCTGTATACAGTCTGGCAGTCTGAACCTGGCAACTGAAATTGCACATCCAAGAGGCCGTCCAGGTCTCAGGCGCCACTACATCCTGTGCCAGGCGCCATCTGCGCAGCGCTTCGAACACCACCTGCAATATGCGTGGCTTTGCGTAGGCCATGGCGTCCTTGCCAACGCCTCCTCACGGTCGATGTGCAGCTCATCCTCCCCGAGGAGAAGCAGCAACCGCTCGGCGCTCAGGAACAGGAACCTGCCGAAGGCCAAAAGGCGCCTCGAGCGCCTCAAGCGCCTCAAGCGCCTCAAGCGCCTGAGGGCTCGGCTCGCTGCTCATCGCGATATCTTCGAAGTTTCCCATACACATAAACTGCAAAAGATCGGCAATGCAGAATGCAAAACATTGCAAAACATTGCAAAACACAAGGATGCTCGGAAATGCACTGCGAAGACAACAACGATTGGAAGCTGACCACACGCTCGCAGCAATGCCTTGGAAGCGCTCAACAGCTTCGTCAAAGCGAGTTGGTCCTTGGCCCACTGTCTGGCGGGATGCAAAAAAGCAAAACGGCATGAAGCTCGATGTCGGTGATATCGGACAAGCATCTGCCACTTCCCATATCCGCAGGCCGTTACTAGGCGAAAGTGTCTCCTGCCAGGTCTCAGTCTCAAGAAAGCAAGCCGCTTAGCGCATGTCACTCTATGTCACTCTGCTCCTCCGCTGCTCGAGATGCCTCAGCTCGCAATTGTCTGAAAGCGAGAGAGTCGCGAGTTCGTCCAAGGTACGACTTCTAGAAGCCGCAGGTATTGAAGCCGCGAGGCAGCCTGATAGGCTCAGATCCTCTCCCATCCGAGTCTATGAAGTCCAAATCAAATCCAACATGCAAGGAGTCAAGGAGCAACAAAAATAGGACTCAGGAAAGCATTGCGCCTCAAGCAACGGCACAAGCATCTCTGTGTGGATGCAGCACTTTCCTCGCGGGCGATGCTCGTTGAGAGCTAAGTCTGGTGTCTGCAGCGAGCCTGTGTACATGTGGTCAAGCACTGCTTCAAATGCGGCCGCTGGCATCTCTGGAAGATCGATGGACTGCTCATGGCTGTCAGCCTTACCCGAGCACGTCAACTCTGAACCTGACAAAGGAAATGAGAAAGCGGCTTATACCAATTACGTGGCACATCAATTGGGACCTGATGTTCCTTCACGCATGCCAACCCAAATGCATCTGCGCTGTGCAAACGGCTACAATGCGCACGTGAGTCAAACCGAGGCCGGTACCATCCCAATGCAAAAACGGGCGCGCATGTAATCGGAGGAAGCTGCAAGAACCACGCGGTGAGCCTATCACTTGCCATGGACTTGGTGCACTTGGTGCATGGTCAAAGCTGAGGCGCCCACTCTAAACGAGCTGTCGGCAACGCGGATCTCCACATCGCACAGTGTTCCCTTCCTATTGCTGACATCTTGGGCAAACGTGCTGGAAGCTTGCCAAACGCACCCACATGCAACACAGTTCTCTCTTCTGCAAGCAAGAATCCGCCAGAAATCTGCAAACACCTCTGGCAAAATGCATTCTGTTCCTAGAAGATGAAGCACGTTGTCCTCCTCTTTGAATTCAGGAACCGCCTTGGCCTCGGATTTGGTCGGTTGCATCTGCGTGCCCGCTGTGCAGGATCTGAGGTTACGGCTTCCAACTGCATGCGCCGCTAGCCGGCCATGTCATTGCACACTTTCTAGCTCGAGCCGCGCATTGCCTGAAGCCTCCTCTCCAAAGCCAGCCACTGGGATGCACCGGATTCTGCGACTTGGGCAACGCGATCCGTCGAGCACTGCGCCTTGGGCTCCGGCATCTTGCAGAATCCGGCGTCTGTCCATCTCCTCAGACATGGGCTTCACCTCCGAGAATTCGAAGCTTGAGACGCCTCCAAGAGGTGGAGAGACAGCTGCCAGCTGCGCTCACAGGCACTGACCTCTGGTCGGATTCTTGCTTCCGGCAGGACATGGCTCTGAGATTCGAGCGGCGGCATTGAAGGTGGCAGCGTCAGGCGCTACCTAAAGTGAGAGAGAGGGGAAAAAAAGAAATCGGCAGAGAGATCTTCGAGTCATGTTCGACGTTGGATGCGAGGCGTGCACGGCATAAGTCGGCATGTCCCGCAGAAGCTCCAAAGACTTGGACCACTCGCGACTCGCACCGGATCCGCGTCACGAGGCATCGTTGGCATCTCTTGGGCGGCTGCCTTGCGCCACTGACCCCTTTTCTGGCCCTTGGCACCTAGGTGCCCGAAATGTGCGCAGTTCAAGTCTCACCGTCTGGGAAACTGCACAAAAATGCATCGAAGATCTGAAGTGAAGCTCGGCACATGCACCGATTGCTGTGTTGAAAGCCACGAGGCCTGGACAACACAACCGCTCGCGGCCACGTGACCGTCTTAGAATGCTCGGTTCCGAGCTTGGCTGTAACTGCAGCAAGGAGAGGGCGTGCTGCCACACCTCAACTTTTGCTGTGCGTACAGAGTTGCTGCTGCCCAATACCTGCTGGCTCAAGCTGTCAGCACAGTATGATTGCCAGAAGCTTGTCTTTCCATGTGCAAACTCTGCTCACCCAGTCGAGACCCGAAGGGGGCCCAGAAAACAGTCTCTGTCCTGGGTCCCGCGCTCCCGATGACTCGCATGCGCTGATTGCGGCCTTGCACATTTGCAGTTTTGCAGGCGACATGTTGAAGCTAGGATTCCTGTTCGGTCCCTTCGAAGTAGCTTGCGATTAGCAGATACCGCAATCCTTGCACTGTATAGTAAAGCTGCTGTGTGCTCCTAAGTACACACAAGACACCAAAAGACATTTTGATCTGTTGGTTCCATTGTTGTGTTCAAAGCAGATGAGCATTGTTTGATAGAGGTTCAGGGCTTATACACTGCTGGGGAGGCTATGCGGGGGGCTGCGCTGGGCCAGAATTCGGGGAAGGGTTGGCTTCGCGAGGCTTCGCGGCAAGACTGTGGCTTCGCGGAGTGGCTTCGCGGGGCTTCGCCGGGCTTCGCGGATGCTTGTTCCACAAACATCTCTGACGTTTGCGCTCTCATGTAGTTGAATCCAGTTCAGTCCATGCCAAGGGGCGATGACAGGCGGGAAGAGAGACATTGAGCTTCAGGACTAGGGACATGGCTGGGCTTCAAAGGGGCATGGAAGTTGGACCACGCTGGCTTCGCGGATGCTTCGCGGGGACAGAGGCTTCGCGAAAACGTTCCATCGCTTTTAGTAAAACCGAGCCTGAAACGCACAGCGCTCTTCCGGTCGTCTTCCTGTTGTCTTCCCATAATCTTTCGGCAGTCTGACGGTAATCTTCCAGCATCGTTGATCAGACGCTCATCCGATGCACCCGCTCCAACGTCACAAATGAATTCCATTTAGAACCATTGCTTGTGTCTACTGAGCCAATCCCACTAGCTGTCAATGAGCGCCGCAACCGGGGCTCGAGGCCGGCCTTCGGTCTTGGTGCATCGGATGAGCGTCTGGTCAACGATGCTCATCCGAAGCTTGCTCGGATGAGCACCTGCCGGCCAGACCAGCAAATTGGACAATGTAGCCTCCTCCTTTACCGGCATGGGCCAACGTAGCCGCTCCCGTGAAAGAACTTACAAGACTTGCAACCCAACATGGGTTCCGACAAAGAAAAAACTTCAAAACCAAAGGCGGCCCCGAAGTGTTCAATATTCGGAGCTCAGCAAGCAGAGGTTCTTCAGCAATAGATTGGACTTGCGCCTGTCCCAAGCCATTTTGGCTTACACCGGGCGACAAGGGTAATAAGGAGCGACAAGGGTGGCGAGGAGCGACAAGGAGTTGCGGCATGCCTGCAGCGAAAGGCTCGCAGGCCCGGCGCAAGGCTCAGCTCTGTTTGCAGCGCAGATTTCCTAATCACAGACTGGAGGTTGCGCAGCCTGAAGCTGGCTGCGCAGCCCAAGAGAGGTACAGCCGCGCAGGCTGCGCAACCCACATGCGCAACCTGGAAGCTGCGCAGCCTCAAGCTGCGCAAGCTACAGCCTGCGCAGCCTCCAGAAAGGGAGCGCAAGCTTGGCGACAGAGCACGGCTGTTCGCTGAGGGTATTCCAAGCAACAAGAAGGACTGCCAAAAGGACTGCCAATGCATCCATTCAGTTCTGAAGTAACTGTTCCATGTAACATGATGCATAGTTCGATCGCCAGGTGCGGGGGTGGACTTTGCAAAGCGCTGTTGTGTGTATTACAACTGCAGGTGCTACAACCATGGCTGCCTCGTAAACGAGGATGCCCGTCTTATGCATCTATGTTTCAGCTTGTGTACAATGTTTCTCTTCTTTGAATGTGTTTTCTGTTTCTGTTTGTTGCTCTGTGTTTTCATGCTTTTTCATGGCGTTCCACGTTTTTCCTGTTATATCCTGTTTTCTCCGGAGGGGCCCTAGGTACCCATAGTAAAGGGCCACACGAAGCATTTGGTTCATTTAACAGGCATGCGTTCATGCGCGTGGACGGGTGTGCTTCCATGTGCCAGGCATGAGTGCATTTGAGCGATATTCGGAAACGCGATGTTGGGCCCGCGTGGCTGGCATGGGGGATTGCTAAGAGTGTGACATCAAAAGTGCCGCACCTGCTGGGGGCGGCGCAACGACTGCATGCCAAAAACAACATTGCACACATGCCTAAGGCCACTGCATTGATGCAAACGGAGTCAGCGCGCAATTTCAACCTTGGCTTGCAAAACATCTTGAGAGCCCATAAACGTGCATTCCAAGTGCCACTAGGAAGCATTGGCATTTCTGCAAGGAGAGCGCAAGCCACTTCCCATTGTTGACCTGCAAGCTTGTGAAACTAAACTACTGCAAGTGACAAAGGGTAAGTCCGGCAAGTTGCCGCATGCTTCCTTGCCGAGTTGCTGCATGCGGTGATCACGGTGCTGCAGGCAATGAGATCCGCGTCCAGGCTAGGCAGCACAACAATGCATTGCCAACTTTGAGAAAGGTGAGGGTAAGTTGTGCCAATGAGTACTCTAAAACTCCAGCACTCCAGCGGCACTTCTATAACGCGTCACCACCAATTGGAATGCGTTTAAGGTTGTGTTCCACTGCTGCGCTTCTCTCCTGAAAGCCATCTCCCGGAAGAGGGCCAAGGCCCATTCCTCCAGCAAATGCGCCTACTTATACGCATGGAACGCATGAGGCATGGGCCCACCGCCCGCACGCCTGAGTGCTAGGTCACGTCCGACACATGCACGTGTAACCCAAGGCAGCAGCTTGCATGGCTTGCATGGCAGCTGTGAAAGTCAGGACCTGAAGCTTGGCATCTCAAAGAGTTGAAGTCAGAGATGTCAGAGGTTGAAGCATCTGCCGTCACGGAGAAAGCCTTCGCAGAGCGCAGCAGTGCCAAGGCAGCCTCGGAACTCGTGCGAGAGAATGAAGAGGAAACCACTCCCTCTGCGCGCCTCCCAGCACCCCGCTCTCTCACAGGCGCTAACCTCAGCAAGTTTCACAGGTGAAAATACTAAAGCGCGGAAAGTTCGTGAAACTTGCGCGGAAAGCTCCTGTGAATGCAGCTCGGGGACAAGGACCGAGACATGAGAAGGAAACACCGAGTGAACGCCGTCCAAAATGAGCTGATTGCTACGAAGTGAGTGCTGTTTTGCAACCGAGGCTAACTCTCAGGTTCAAGAACAGATGCGTGTCCTCACTGGCTAGCGGCAGCGCACTGTATGAAAATACGGACTGCTGAACGCAATGTACTTTCTTTGCACCTTGCCCGTGGCCGGCGCACACACAAGCAATTTGATCCATGTGAGAGACATGGTAATTGGGCCTTACCATGCTTCAAGCGCACCAAATTGGCTTGGCTCCCTGACACTGCCGCTATCAAACTGTCCGGCCAACGTGTGTCAAATAGTCACCTTGCAAAGCGGAAAGCAAACCATGCTACGAAAGAGAGTTCCCGGACCCCAACGAATCTCATTGGCCCAAAGCGCGCAAGCTGAGTAGCAGCAGCATTGAAGATCACGGGATTCAGCTTAGCCTCACGCTACCGAGTTCCCGAATCGAAGGGCAAAGCCGAGAGTCGAGCCCCGTGCGAGTCTCTGCAGCAGCGCGAGGGCTTCCTGCCAAAGACCAGCGCCCTCGCAAGCGGAAACCTGAAGGGCAAAGAAAGGAAAGAAATGCCAAGGCACACAGGCTCAAGGCTCAGGACAGCACGAAGGTGCCATAGGTGATGAGACTGGGCTGAAGCTGAAGTCTTGGAAAGGACGCAAACAGTATGGAGGATCTGCGCCTTGGGCCAAACAAACAAATAGCTACACGGAAGTGAGTCTCAGCACACAGCCAGTCGCTGCAGGCCGACATAGCTGCCTTGGAAACGTGCTCTGAACATTCTGATGTCGTGCTGCCAAAAGGCTAAGCCACATTGAAGGCCACAGTGTCCGAAGGCAAGATCATGCACCTCAGGTCTCATACTGTAGGATGCATGTGACCGAATATGCAAACATTATGCAAATGGCCTCATCTGGGCAAGGAGCGAAAGAGCTGACGGCCATCGCTCCTACGGAATCGCCATGCCGATATATCTCGAGCCGAGGCGGAGGCCTCGCAAGAGGATATGACCGCATTGAAGCAAAAGGAGTTCGGCTCCTGCGATCGCATCTTCGCGCTTCGTTTCATCTCGTTTCACGAGCCCTCAGTTTCTCAGAGCTCCAGCTGACCGCTGCACAGCTCTTGCAGAGCCATCAGGGCCTGGCCTCGGCACCAAAGCCGCATTGATCCAAGCACCCCATGAGAGGAGCCAGGATCTGGGCCCCACTTCCCCTCCTTCACTCGCGCCTTAGCTATAGAACACGAGAGACAAAAAGCATCAAAAAGCCACAAAGTGTCATAAAGTGCCACAAAGTGAGATCAAGGCATTGATGGCAGTGCTTCCGATCACCACGTTGGTCTGCAACCTAAGCTCCGCAACTCGGCCCAACATCCGGCCTGGCCGACCTGCCAAGAAACTGCGCGTGCCCGCAACACTGCAGCAATTGCATCGCCTGGCGCGATGAGCAAACACCCGATTCATGTTGGTGTCACTTGCCCGAGCTTCCAACAAATACCACTCCTGAACTTATTGATGGCCACACTGTGCTGGGTTTTTGATGTTTTAGACTTGGACTCCAGGCTTGCCCATCTTCAGCCGAAAGCTTTAGCCCATAACCTGGCTCGTCAATGAAACAAGTCATTGGCAACCTAAACATTGTCATCGCAGGCGGAAAACGGCGGGAGCTCCACTGTACGAGAGCCATGTCCGGTGCAATAGCGCCGTCTTCCGGGCCCAAAGGGCACGTCTCAGAACAGAACTGACACGGGCGGACTCAGTCCGGGAGCATCAGACAACGCACGTCGGAGCAAATCGCACGTCGGACATCGACTGCGAAGGCCTCCACCCAGCGGCGGGCGCGGGTGCAGGCAGCTGCTGCAGCTCCCAGGGTGATGACATTGAGCTCCTGACACAGTCGAGCGAACCAGCAAGTAATCTGATAGCCCAAACTACTTCACCAGCTGAGACCAGGCTCCACAGGCAAAAAGTGTTAACACCACATTGTGGGCTGCGTGTATTACCTTTGCAGACGCAGGACGCTGGTGGTGTGCGCAAGTTTAGCTTCGTCACACTAGGAGTTTGAGTTTGTTGCTACATTAAACACTGCCCAGACTGCCTTACACCGACTCTAGGGATGGCGCATACTTAGCCTCTGGGACACCACCAGCATTACATAGACTAGGCATTGGCTGGTATTTGGGCACTATGGGAGAAGGCTGGTATTTTTGGCCGGGAAATCAAAGCAGAATGCGGACTATTGACTATGTTCATTTGTTGAGGAATCAAAGTTGTATCGAGACCCGCTTGATGAAATTGAGTGATGTTTGGCACTAAACGGGGGCAGCCTGATGAAGGGTAAGCTGACATTTTCGCGATCTCCAGCCCAGTCTGCAACGAGGCCGCCAAAGCAGCAGCCCAGCCTCCAGTTGCACCAGTCACATGGCGTCCACTCACAGGGCACAGGGCACAATTTCGGGACTCTGGGGACTCTGGGGACTCTGGGGACTCTGGGCTCGGGATCCGGACGATGTTCTCGGCCCAGTGACACCACGGCGGTAGTGGCTTTGGACATGCCATGGCGCAAGGCCTTCCGAACTGGATGGAAATGAACTTTACCCGTTCGGATCCGTTCGGAGTCTGTCACGCAGTCACGTGTTCGGAGACCCAAACCCGAGCCAAAAGACTGATGGAAAGCTCTGTCTCGTGCGACTCTTCACCGCAGCAACACAAGAGTGGTGGCAAAGCTAATGAGAGCCAACACGCTTGATGCTTTGTCAAAACAAGATTGCAGGGCTGAGGATGCTTCAGGGCTGAATGGCGGAATCTGGCACTGTCAGCCTTGCGCCTACTCCGCAGTGGCTACCAGCCCGTCTGCAAACAGGGGACTGTCAATGGTCTCAGGCTGTGCTGAGGTCCTGCACAATGAGATAAAGACCAAATGACAAAATGATTCCTTCATGTAAAAATTGTACATGACACCTGAAACATAGGAAAAAATAAATATATATATATATATATGTATATATATATATGTGTGTTAAAGTTGGATTGATGATGTAAATACCTGAAGACCTGTGTGTGACAGCGCGGCGCTGTTGTTTCCAGGTGGCACGCTGTAGCTCTACTGTATGTAGGCTCAAGGCCTTGATCATACAGATCTGCAAGGGCATGTACAAGTGAGGATGTAGACATCAAGACAAACAGTTGTGCTCTAGCTTGTCGAGGTGATGGAAAATTGTTAGCAGCTCTACTGACTGTTTCAATTTGTACAACGGTTCCTCTAATGTGTCGAGCGGCTGTACAGACTGCACGTGTGACCTGATGTCAGCAAGGTGTATCTGCAACACCTTGTGTCCACAAATCCGGTGTGCCAAAAAATCGGCAATCACTGTGTAAGCAGTGTGGATCCCTGCTTCACTCCTGTAATGTACTCATTGTACATCTGTGCCTTGGTCGCAGCGTCGTTCATGTAAAACAGATGCTGCTGCTCGAGGATGTAGTCAATGTGGCCCTGATGTCCTGGCACTGCCTGTCCCTCAATCGTGCCACGTGTGTTGAGACTGTTTGCGTCCTGCATCGAGATGTGCCTCATGTCACCTGATGCGCAAGTGGCAGATGTTTGATGCTGCCAACTCCCATCAAGGACAATGCCTGTGCCACTGTGGCATGTCTGCGGCATGTGTCCTCATCTGTTGCGAGTTGCTCGAGGTTCACGCAGGCGTTGTGGGACCAGATGTACCCTGTGTTCCAGTTGAACTGCACGTAGATCCCGAGCAGGCCATTGTTGCCGGCGTACTTGAAAACCTGATGTTTAGATAGCTCGTCTTGTGTCTGCATCCATGTCTTGTTCATGTGAATTTGCATGTGTACTACACTGTAGCCCCGATTGAAGATATTGATGTAGCCGCAGGATGCCCGCTCGGCAATGTGCCTCGCATCCAGCTGTACCGTGGCCACAATGAAGGTGTCGAGGTGCTGTGTCCCGCATGTCCCGACAGAAATGTAATTCAGAAGGGTTGTGACAGCCTCGAAAGGGGAACTGTTCAACACGATGTACTCGACCTCTGGGCTTCTAGCCCAGCCATGGATGTGTTTCAGTTCACCATTCTGTGTCCAAGATGTGAACTCCTCAAATGCAATGACACCATTGCAATGTACATCATGTTGGTCTTGTTCTGGATGGTGTCCATGTGGATCCCATCCAATGTACGCAAGGGCTGTTTCCCGGTGATGTTCTCCTCAGTGTAGCCCAAAGATGTAAGGCTTATCGCATCCCATGTCCTCGCCACTGTGACCTCTGTGGCCGGGATGTACTCAGCGATCCTTGTGAGTCCTGACATCGCCATTGTGTACCTTCAATGCACAGGGGTGTGTCTCCACAAATGTAAAATGGCTGCGACATGTATCAAAGACATTGTCTGAAACATGTATGAAGCCTCATGCAGTAAACATGTACCCGAGGATGTAAAAGATGTGGTCAAAGATGAACTCAAAGTTGTGTACCCAAAGCCAGAAAGGCTGTATCATCTCCAGGGCAGGTCCATGGCTGTACCTAACCTAAAGCTAAAACATGTGTGCCGGCCGTTTAGTTGTGAAACATACACGTGTGTCAACTGTGCAACTGTTGTTTAACATACTGTGCAACTGTGTGAAACTGGTGTTGTGTGGCCTCCCAGGCCAACGTTGTACAAGTGCTTGTTGAGGGTGTCGCAGCTGACAAACTTTGTCAGCAGGTCTGATGGGTTGTCTTCAGACCTCACTTTGCGCATTGAAATGATTTTGCTTTTGACAAGTTGTTGTATGAAGAGGTGCCGTAGCTCGATGTGTTTTGCTTTCTTTGATGCGCCTTCTCTCATTGATATTGATTTTGCTGCACTGCTGTCTGTGCGTATCCTTATGTTGATGCGTACCTCAAATGCTTCTTTTATGAAGTTGCGGATGTAGAGGCTTTCCTGTGCTGCTGTACCAATTGCGTACAGTTCTGATTCTGCTGATGAAAGTGCTATTGTGTCTTGTGTTCTGCTGCCATAATGTGCTGCTGCTCCAAACAAGTACAGTACAAATCCTGTTGTGCTCTTTCTCGTTGTTTCACATGATGCCCAATTGGCATCTGTGTATGTGTCAATGTTGAGTGGTATTCGCTTGTCCTGCGTTTGTATCTTTGGTCGCAAGTTGTGTCGCATGTGCCTTGTGCCCTTAAGGTACCTGATCATGTGCTTGAGCTTCTTGTTGTCAAACTGCGTTGGTGCTTGTAATGATCTTGCTAGCTCTTTTGTTCCATAGCTGATGTCTGGTCGTGTGTATGCTAGCCATTGTTCCTGACTCTTCCAGGATGATTTCAACATAGTTGTTGTTCAAACTGATGTCGATGTGATCGCCTCTGTGTGAGATGTTTCTGCCAAGGAAGTGGATTGTTGATCCAACTGTTAGGTCGCCTGTGTGTCTAAGCAGAACTTCCTTTTGTATTCTGCTGAACAGTGTGTTGATGATGCTTTGTACTCCTATGAATAGGAGATCGTCTACATAGATCATAATGTAGACCAGGCAATCCTTTGACCTGTAGACATTGCTTTCTGTTGTGTATCTCACCAATTCGAGTGTGACTGTGAGAACGTGTGTTATGTGGTCTTGCATTTGTTTTGGTGATGATCTAAGACTGTAGATTGCTTTGTTTAGCCGCCACATTATGTGTCTGTTCTCCTCGTTGTAAAACTCGTGTGGTGGTCTCATTACCAGATTGTGTGTGATGGCTGCTGCATGTAGAAATGCAACACTCACATCTCCTGTACAGACCGACCAGTTGTACACCAGTGCCATTGTGAGAAGCACTCTCAGAATCCAAAACAATGGTGTACTTGCGAAGAGTAGGTCGTGGTCTGTAACGGGTTCTGTGTAGCCTTTTGCTACTATGCGTGCTCGTACTTCGTTGTGTTTTGGTTTTAGAACCCATCTTGATTCAATGATGTTCGCTTGTTGTTCCTGTGTCATTGTGTTGCCATCAATCTCTGTGAAGACTGATTGTTCTTTCATTTGTTGTACTTCCTTCTTCATGCCTTGTGCTACAGGTTGTGGATCCAGGTCTTCTGTGTCATGTGTGATCGGCTCTAGTAGGATCCTTTCATTTTCGATTTCTTGTGTGTCTTCATTGGAGGTTGTCTCCATTTGTTTACCATCCTTTGTTGTGAACTTGATGGCATTGATTCTCATCTTGCTCTTTGGTTGTTCTGCCGTTGTAGGTCGCTCAAGGGTTTGTCTCTCTGCTGTGGTGCGTTGTTGCTTGCCGGCGCTGCCTTCTGCTATTGTGTCATCTCTTTCTCTTGTCTGTGATGCGTGCAGTGGTGCTGGCAATGATGGTCGTTTCTGATGTGCCGGTGATGTAGCCATAGGTGATGTTGGCTCTGCTGTCCTCTTCTGCTTTGGCTGTTGTTCGCTCGACTGTGCTGTGCTTTGTCTCTTGTTTTCTGCTGCTGTGCTTGTTGCTGCATCCTTCTGAGATGTAATTGTTTTGCTTGCTGATGGCATCGTTACTGGTGTTGTGAGAGTCGGTGTAGGCAGTGCTGACGCTGGTGTCTTCCATGGACCCGTGTGTACACAGTCCAATAGTTGCTGGTCGTATTTGTGAGGCATTATTTGCCTTCTGATTGTCCTTGCTCTGACAATCTTGTTGTAGATCCCAATGAGGGATTCGCCTGTAGTTGTGTCCTTGCCAAGCCAGATCCCGTTGTAGAACCTTGGCTCTAGTTTTGGAAATTGTTTTACTGTTGGTAGCATGTATTGCACTGTCTCACCAAACTCGCACAATGGTGTATGCTGTTCTCTGTTCCATCTGTTGAAGTAGCTTGTGCATCCATTGCTGTGCAAAGCATACCTGTTCATGATGTATGCACTGTGTCGAACGATCCAAGGCATGAGTGGATGTTTCATTGGAATGTCTCTGTTGTAGTTTTGCTTGATCTGTGCCTTGAGTGTTCTGATTTGTGCAAACAATGTTCTGTGCGCTCGTTCTACTCCTCCTTGTGATTGTGAACTGTATGCTCCTGAGTTCCGGGTTGCGATGTTGCCATTCTTGCTTGCTACTGTGGTAATGAGTGCTGTCAGGAAATCTTCCTGATCTGATTGTAGTATCGTGTGTGTTGTTCTTCCACACTCAATGAGGAAGTGCTGTAGCTGTGTGACTGCATAGTCGAAGAGCATCCTCTTGTCGGTCAATTGTATTGCCATGATCATCCCTGATTGGATGTCAATTGCTGTGAGGATTGGATGTACCTTGTTGTCATCGAAGCCTTTAATGTAGCCGAAGTCGAGTTGTATGATTGGAAGCTTGCTGTGCTGTTTTGGATGGTTGTTTTGTCTGCCTCTTGATTGTACGCATATCGGACACCAACTTCTGTAAGGGAGGTGTGTGACATTGTGCTCCAAAATCTCCTGTGGTGTAGGTTGCTTGGGTGCCTGTACTGCTTTTGCTCTTGTGCCTTGTTGTTGTTCTTCATCATCTGACTCGAGCTGTGTTGGGAACTCTTGATGTTCCTCAAAGTTTGTCCAGCCTGTCCAAGGCTTGTCTGATGTCTTTGCTGGCTGTGTTGTCCATTCATCTTCTATCAACCTTGTGTGTTGTCTTTCTCCTCCAACTGGTTGTACCTTGGTCTGTCTCCAAGGCAAGAGTCGTTTGATGTCTGGCCCGTCGTGTGACTGCTCTGGTATGTAAAACGCTGTTCTGGGCTCAACATGTACTCTCTTCCAGTATGGGCCTTCCCAGGCCCCCTGTACCAGTAGTCTCCTCCAGGGCTTTGGTGGTGTGTGGCGCAGGTGTGTCCTGAACTGTTGGTGGTGTTGTTTTCTCTCTAAGCCGTGTGCGCGGTTTGTACTGAATCACTTGCGGCGTCACCCTCTGTGGTGCACTTTTTGGCTGTCTCTTTGTTGCAAGCTGTTGCTGTATTGCCTCTGGCAATGTTGTGCCTTTCTTGATCCAGAATGTTGTCTCTCCTTTCCACATTTGTGGTTGTGCTTTGTTTGGCGCTTCCATTGTTTGATACTTGTCTTCAAACGTGTTCGTTGTACCATCCTTGAGTCTGATGGTTGTTTTCCTGTAGTCCTCAAGTTGTTCTGCTGGGGCTGGACACTGTGTTCTCGAAGGTGCGAAGAGTGTCTTTCTGTGTTGTCTGTGTACTCTTACAAGTTCACCTTGTGTGTTGAATTGCCAGTAGTCTCCTGCATAACCTGTGTCTGCAGGACCTTGTGGTGTCAATGTTGTGGTCGGTGCTATCATGCCGATCTGTCCTTGGTCCGTGTTGTGTATCTGTAGCTTTGTTCCTTTTGGCAATGCTGTGATTTCTGCTTGTAGGAAGAACAGGCCGTTTCTGCTCTCCAGTGTGCCGTTGAATCCTTTGATGTGATGTAGCTTTGGATTGTCATCCAATGTAAGTTGGAAACCTTGTTCCACCAGCCTTGTAACTGAAAGAATCGGCTGTTTAACCTCACAAACGTAAAATGGTATGACAATTTGTTGCCCGCTGTGATTTGTCATGCAGACCCATCTGTACCCATAAAGCTCGGTGTGCTGGTTGGTCACTGTTCTGAATTGTGGTCCTGTTCCATGTGCAAGCTGGTGTAGTGGGAAGTGTGGTGCAAACCATGGTGGGCATACATGTGTAGCCGCACCGCTGTCAATCATAAGACTGACCCACTTGTTGTCTTCTGAGTGTTGTTGCGCTGTGCCAATCATGGCAATTGTTACTTCTTGTCACCCTGAGATGGGTACTGCTAATGGATCCGCCATTTGTGGTGGTTGTGGTAATGCTAGTTGTTGCATGTGTGTCTGACCCTGGTGGTACCAGTTGTTGTCATAGTGTGACTGACTGTACCAGTCATCTGTCTGGTTATTGGTGTCGAAGTTGCCAGTATCGCAGTTGTAGATCGCCACTCTGCATTGTTTGGCCATGTGTCCTGGTTGTCCACATCTGTAGCAAACACTTGTCGCTTGCTTTCCTTTTGACCCTTTTCCTCCTTGTTGGTTGTTGTAGTATCCTTTTCCTTTTCCTTTGTTGTTGTATCCTTTTCCTTTGGAGTATCCTTGTTGTCCTTTGAAAGGATTTCCTTGTCCAACCGGTTGTTGATTGTACTTACCTTTTCCTCCTTTGTAGTTGTTGTATCCGAAGTTGTTGCCGTAGCCGCCGTAGCCTTTGCCTTTGTTGTGCTTTCCTTTGCCTTTGCGCTTGCCCTTCTTTCCTTTTCCTTTGTTGTACCATGTTGCTCCTATGTCCATTGGTGCCGGTCCTTGATTGCTGTTGCTGCCTGATGTGATTGACTGTAGTCTGGTGAATGACGCTGTTGCTCTGTAGTACTCGATCACTATCGATCTGATCTGTGCGTATGTTGTGATGTTTCCTGCTTGTAGCTGCAAATGCTGCTGTAGTGGTCCTTTTGTTTCATTGAGCAGCACTGCGATTTTGATTGCATCTGGTAGTAGTGTGTTGTTGTCTTGTTCGTACCTTGAGAGTTGGAACTCCCATGTTGTAAAGCTCTCTTCGAACTTCTGTTCATCGAGTTGTGGTTTGAGCAGCTTTGTAAGGTATCCAATGCTCCTTGTACCAAGAGGTATGGAGTACCTTGCATGTATAAGCCGCCAAATTTCGAATCCGTTGCCTTGCGTGTTTTGTGTGCAGATTGTAGATGCTGGTCCATCGCATGTGCTCACTAGGATGTAGTGCAAGTTGTTGCTCAGTTGTATCCATTGCTCTGCAACTTGTTGTCAAGGTGCTGCATTCTCAAGTTGGTCATTTGTAACTGCTCCTGCTGATTGCTCTGACTGTCTAAGCAGTCTGTTGTAGTCTGGGTCTTGTAGTCCCAGGTATGCTGTCATCTTGTACTTCCATTCTTCGAAGGTGTTGTATTCGCCATTGAAGCGTGGTGGTGATATCTTGTACTTGTGGATTCCTTCTAGCTGCTGCTGTTGTGGTTGCTGATCTTGTTGATGTTGCGCCATGTTACTCACTACTGTGTACCTCAACCTGTGAGTGCGTGTTGGAGCTCACCCTGGGTAGTGTGGTAGGATCGTGTACCAGGGATCACAGCTCCGCTACCATGTTAAAGTTGGATTGATGATGTAAATACCTGAAGACCTGTGTGTGACAGCGCGGCACTGTTGTTTCCAGGTGGCACGCTGTAGCTCTACTGTATGTAGGCTCAAGGCCTTGATCATACAGATGTGCAAGGGCATGTACAAGTGAGGATGTATATTAACAATGTGGGGCCCCCTTCCCGGGACCTCGCCCCCCAAGCCCAAAACAGGGGGAAAGTCTGAAAAAACCGAAGGAAAAACATGGTCTTATGGAAGAGGAAACAAAAACAAGATCATCTGGAAGAAGGGCCGCAAACCAGAAAAAAACAAGAAAAACCATTAAACAAAAAAAAAAGGTCCTCATGAAGAAGGGCCCCAAGCCAGAAAAACCAAAACATAAACAGAAAAAATAACAGAAAAACAACAAAACCAGGGTTCTTCAGAAAAAGAGTGACCTCCATCATGTGTCTCCAGGACCCTGGTTTTTTGTTGTTTCTGGATCCCCGTATTTATTTGGCGGGGGGGGACATCTGGGGGGGGGGGACACCGGGCATACAGAGTTTTGCTGGTTTTGCTGGCTTTTCTGGTTTGGGGCCCGTCTTCATGAGGACCCTAGTTATTGTTTGTTTGGTTTTTTGAAGGGATAGAGCTGAACAACCCAACACAACTCAGAGACAACCAAACACCAGAACACGGGAAACTACCAAGAACGAAACCTTGCGAAAAGCAAAAACCAACATTTCGCATCCGGGTTGCGTTCTTTAGGTTTTCTTGCGTTTGCTTTGGGCAGGTTTGGTACTGCCATGATTAAGCCATCTTGGTGACACGAGTAATGACATTCTTCATACGCGATGCTACGTTGATAGTTATCATCACGCATGATGCATGACCATGATGATGATGAGAATGATGCCTCTGATGAGAGCTATCATCGTAGCATCCCCTGCATCACCAAGAGTGCCTAACGGCACTCTTGAAATGCAAACCTTAGAACAAAGACAAGAAGGAGATGATGACACCCTTTACCTGGCTACACCATCCTCATCATCACGATCATCATCATCGAGACACGGGTGGTGATAATTATTGTAGACACCGCTGGAGACTACGATGATAGTTCTCATCGTCGTCATCATGCATATAGCAAAAGAGATGATGATTATGACGCAAATGGTGATAATGATGATAACCATCACCATAGCATCATTTGCATCACCACCATGTTAACAATCATCATCATCGTAACAACAGAGACGATGATTATGATAAATATAAAAAGATGATGATGATGATGGTGATGATGATGATGATGAATGATCATGACACGGGTGATGATATTTATCATACCCTTCTGAGGATGCAGGGGGTCCTATATTCATAGTTGTCATCATGCATCATTCATGACCCTGATGTAATGACGATACCTAGATGATGAGGATGAGAAGAAAATGATGACAACTGTGATGATTATTCAGAGCTTTTCATCATCATCACGGGCGATGACAGTTATCACAGGAGCCGCTGGAGATGCAGGGTATGCTATGATGATAGTTATCATCGTCGTCAGCCTGCATGTTGCTTGTCATCATCCATGTGACGATAATGATGACCATAGTGTTGATGATGATGATGGTGCTCATCATGATGATAACTTTCATGATAGCGTCCTTTGCATCACCATCATGTTGATGATAATTGTCATCGTAGCAAAAGAGATGATGCTTATGATGAAAATGATGATCATTATGACGATAATCATTAGGCTTACAAGAACACACTTCATCATGGGTGGAGCAAGTGCGTGGGTCTGGGTGTAGCATATATATATATATGTCGTTATAGCATGCCAAGCGACACCGGGGATACTTCCAATTTTTGGGGAACAGCAGCTCTGCCAGCACGCCTCTACGTGAGCTGAAAGCCCGGCTTGTGCCACACGATGCGGCCTTGCTCCTCAAGAGTCCTGCGAATCGTTCCGAAGAAAATGAGGCCTGGAATGGCCTGAAGCTTTGGAATATTCTGGAGTCCTGCCCAGCCAGTCTTTCTGGTCCACACAAGTCCATGTCTCGTCGAACTGGTACCAGCCGTCTTTGCCTGCAACGCCTATGTGCGCCTACGCAGTGCAATACAGTTTCCTGGGGCTGCCACCTGGGCCCCAGTTCTTTGCAGCTGACATGAGCTTTGCGATCCTCGACAATGGAGACATGGAGGGCCAGGGAGCCGAGCACGCAAATTGCACCAAGTGTCTTCTTTGGATCTGCTCCATGTTGACCAGCAGCGTGGCCATGTGTCATAGCCTGACTGTCCAGACTCCGCCCAGCAAGCTCTCGGGTGAGATTGCTGCTAGAAAGTTCATCGAAGAGGGCGCAAACCTAGGAAATTCTGCCAACCTACGACACTCTTGCAAGAGCCGGGCTAAGGGCCAGGCTGTTCTCCGAGAAATCGATCTTGAAGAAGCACCTACGAATGCGTGGCCAGACGAAGGCAGCGCACGAGGCCCGAGGCCCGAGGTCCCAAGAAGCGCCTCGACGCAGAGTTCATCGATGATGGCCAGCTGCTGCCTCAGACCTCAGCTCCAGCGGTGCATCCGACGCATCCATTTTGAGGATGTGGGGCGTGCGGTACTTGTAACTTTGGGTCGCGGCTGTCACACGTTGGCTGCCTGCAAGCTCACATATGCAGGGTTGGCCCGACAGAAAATCTGAAGCACCTGCGGTGGGCACTCACGCGAATCCCATCGCCCTCCTGTGTTTGGCAAGCTGACTCGTTCAAAATCATGGGAACAAAAAACTCCTCTGAACCATGCCGAGAAATTCACCTTCACCGTCCTGATGAAACTCGAGGCTACGCACGCCACCTTGAGGCCCGAAAACCAAATGATCTGGAAATGAATCCAAGGCACATCGCATCACATCAGCCAAGAATCTGCAACCTCCAGGGGGCGCATTGAGGTATCCCCACAGTGCTTTCTCCGCCACATATGAGGGCAAAGGGTACTGCGCGAGCGACCTAGGCAACAATCTCAGCAGCACCAATGCCTTCACCTTGACTGAATTGATTTCAGCACAAGGTGCGTTCCCAGTTCCAGACAGGAGGCTCGTGCACTCTTCGCAGCTTGGAGCTGCTCAAGGGGAACTCCAGGTCTTTGCGTTGCTGCCAGCATTCGAAGGCAGTGGACCTCCCGCGCAACCCCGACCGCGTCTGAGTCACATTCACTCGGCTGCGCCTGCTGAAGCGGGGGCCTCGAGTGAGCGGCGAAGCCGGTGCATCCAATGCATCCCATATGTAAAATACGCAGAATGCCCTTTACATGCCGATATATCTGCTTGCATCAGCTTGTTCAGGCTCCAAACGTCACTTTATGGAGGTTGACATTTCAGACCCACTCCTTCGCCCTCCTGCTACTCCCCTTTTGGCCAAGCCAAAACGGCTCAAACCTGCCCGAGCCTGAAGGCTTCCCATGAGTCCCTGGTTAAAATCAATTTGTCAGCTATTACAAGTGCAAGTGCTGTAGCGTTGTTTCACAAACGGTCAAACCTGTGTCTGCGCAACGCGTATTTAGCTATTGGCTCGCACGTGGCGAAAGATAAGCTCAAGGCCTGCGGTAGTGTACGGAGCGCGCAACTGACAAGTAGCGCGACATGAACTTCGTCACGGCCGCTCAGTTGTAAGGTCTTGTAGTGTCTTACAACAGCTGCAACAAAAAAAGGATTGACAGCAGTGATGAAAGTCTGTGCTCATCAACGCTTCTACTGTGGTGAAAAATGTGTAATCAAAACGTGTAGTCATTAAAAGCGCGCGCAGTTAAAGCTCAGTCCCGAATCCACTCGAGCTGAGTGGCGCTGGCGACGTAGTTCCAAAAGCTCAGGCACTGTCTTGCCGCCTCTCTATCGAAGTCTTGATAGGACACACAGGCATGGGCATCTGTAGTTGCTGAAGGGTGCGAAGTAGTTGCGGGTGTGTGGCGCGATTGTCCTGGTTAGTAGCGTGGCACTCAGTGGCGCCTGTGGATCTGTTGATGGTGTCATCCGTAGCGTAATGAGCGAAGCAGTGTAGAAGTTGTCGGGTGGGGGGTAGGAGATGGTAGTCCAAAATGAATCCGCTGGCCATCTTGTAGCGGTTGTTGAACGCCAACAAGTCGAACTGGATGAGGTGTGCACCTTGGTAGTGGTTGAGTCTTAGCGCGCGGCTTCTCATGATGGAGGTGGAGCGTTTGACATAATCCCTGATGAAGTAGACAAGGAACCGCCACGCTGAAGTTGCTGTCGGTAGCGCAATGGTGATGAGCACGTAGCGGTTTATGTTTGTAGCGGCGCGTCCTTCAGCGATCCTTTTTTGTACCACAAATGAGCGTCTGAAGCAGCGTGCCTCCTGAAGTCGATTGTGTGTAGTGGCCCAAACTGGGCACCAATTCCGGTATGATAAGTGTGTTAGGTTGTGTTCTGCTAGTTGTTGCGGAGTTGGTTGTTGAGGTTGCCGCGCTCCTCTTGCCTTGTGTGCTTCGTGGTGTTCGTAATGTTGTTGCTCATCGTAGTCCTCTTGTAGGTGTTCGTGGTCTTTCTTGACAGTGAACCATCTAGCGCGTTTCCATTGGAACGGTAGCGCTGCGTTGCGAACGACTGTCCAGCCGTCCTTGCGTTGCAGGGCGTGCCCTGGTGCAGTGTGGTTCGCAGTGCTGTGTGGCGCGTTCACCTTGTCTTCCCACTGTTGGTGGTCTATTTGTTGCTGCTTTTGGCTGTGTAGTGTCTAGTTCTGTGGAAGGTGCTGATTTGGGTCTCCATATCTATGGCCTTCTTGTAAGCACAGTCGGAAGTTGTTGCTGCGGTCATTCCATGACGTTGTGTGTGACGCTCTTCTTTTCCTTTTGATTTGCTGTAGTTCCCTTGGTCCTTGTAGCCTTTGCCTTTGTACTTTCTTCCTTTTCTCCAGGTGTTGTTAACATCCATTGGAGCAGGTCCTCCATTGCGCTTGCGCCAATTGCTGAAGACGCTCTTTGAGAAAGCTGAGACCGTCTTGTAGCGGTCGAGGATGACCGCTCTGTTCTCGGTGTAGATCTATCCATCACGGAGTTGACGATGTAGCGCGCCTTTGGTCTTGTTGAGCAGCGCCGCAACCTTCATCCCATCTGGTGGCGATGCACCGTTGTGTCGCTCGTAGCGTTTGATGTCGTATTCCCATTGTAGGAATTGTTCCTCGAAGTGTGCTTCGTTGAATGTAGGTTCCAGTAGTCTGGTGAGGTCGCCAACGCTTCGCGTTCCTATGGATAGGCTGAACCTGCTGCGCAAAGTCGCAGTGTCTCACATCCGTTTGACGTTGTTGACAAAGTCGCACTACTGCAGCTGCTGCTCCTTGACATATGCTGATGAAAATGTGGTGTAGGTCTCTACTGCTCTTTCTTGTTGCTTGTGGGCTCTGATCTCTGCATCCTCAACTTGTCGTGTAGCCACTCGTGCTAGCTGCAGTACCAGGCCGAAGTCTAGGTCTCTGAGTCCGAGATAGGCTGTTTGAACAGCCACTCTTCATACTGTGAGTGGCCAAAAGTGAACAATGGTAGTGGCAGTTTGTATTTGTGTAGTTTTGGACGTGGTTGTCTTGTCCAGTTCCCTGAGTCGTGGCTCCTATTGTTTCTGCTGCTGTTGTTGGCCCTTTGTCTGTCTCCGTAGTGTCCTGAGCTGATGCTACTGGTTCTCCTGACACGTCGAGTAGTTTGGCGAGCGATTGCCTTGCAGCTGTTGTTGTACTTGCTGCTGTGTGCTGGCGCTCCCCTATATATAGGATCTGAGCTCCGCTGCCACGTTAAAATCAAACTGTCAACCACAAGCGCAAATGCTGTAGTGTTGTTATCACAAACAATCAAACCTGTAAACTACATTAGCCGACGCCCGAGCACCAACAGTACGTTAATTAAAGGCTTGTCGGCTGAGTACAAGAAGACATATGAGAGACAGAAAAGAAAGAGCCAAGTGAGGGGGCACAAGAAGATGCATTTGCCCCTTCGCTCGTCCACATTGTCCTCTCTCGCTCTCTCACATCATATCTTTTCCATTCCCTTTGCCCTCACGGTTCTTCCCTGCCCTGTCACTCGGTTTCGTTGCATAGAGGGAAGAACCAGCATGCATGATCCTAACTCGTCCTACCCCTCAAGACCTTTGGCAGGACGTCGTTCAATTGGCTCTCTGTTCCTTTCCCAACAATTGAAGTCAGCTTAGCTTGGAATTGAATTTGTCACCTCGTACCATCTCTTCATACCTCTCCTCTCCTCTCCACGACCTTGAGAGAGAGGAAAGAGATGATCCACATAACAGACTCCTTGATGAAGAGACAAGAGACGGTCCAGGCGAACCCGTCGAATCTCAACACACAAGGCAAAAAATGCAAAAAAAAGCAAGGAAACGAAAAAGAAAGAAAGAGAAAAACACAAGTAAAAAGATTCAAAATCTTCACCAGCGGTTCGGCTTTCAGCTTTCGGCTCCAAGGGGCCCAGGGTCTCCACCAGCTCCTCCCGCAGCTGCACAGCCCCAGGCAGAGCGGGGAAGTCCAAGCCCTCCACCTCGAGACTGTGAATCCAGACTGCCAACTAGGCTACAAATTGGAATGAATCTGGGTAACTAGGCTACAAATGGGTACAACATGAAGCTCAACCCACTGTTAAGCTTTTTCACAAATTGGAATCGCGGCCTCAACCGTCAGCGGCTGTGTCTGCAAGTCTTCCGGGATGCGCAGCATGAAACACATCTGGCAACTCACATCTCTCAAATCTCTCTCAGAACTATCGCCTGCTCCTCCAGACGGATCTGGGCACCCATCCTGTCCCAGTCAACACGAGGCTGCGCGCATCTCCAACGCCGCTCCTTGAGCGGGTGGCAAACTCTCCCAGCAACTCCCCGCAAGAGAGCTGTACGTGCAGAGCACCTTGCAAGAGAAGGCGAAAAACGTCCCGTCTCGTCGTCCCGCCGTCCCGTCGTCCCGCCTTCCCGCAGCTCCACGCGGTGGATCGCCTGCCGTCTTTGGGCCAGAAAACAAAATCTCACTCTCTCATCTTTGTGTCTACAGCCTCTGGCACGTGCTCCGCTGCTCCCTGCAATAGGGCCTTTCTCGCAGACTCACAATCTCACAACAAGGACCATTCAATTCAGTGAATCCGAAGCCAATTCGGCGAAGTCTTGCGCTCTAATCTGCTCATTCCAAGACGCGCCTCGACCAGCTGAAAGGCTGCTGACCACATCTGCTCGCCCCGGTCGGCCGCTTCGTTCCACCGCAGCCATCTGTCTTCCCAGGCCTCTACACGAGCGCTTCCGCTTCCCTTGCTGCCCTTGCTCCCCCTTCTCCTGCTTCCCCCGCGCAGCCTCATTTGGCTCTGCCGCAGAAACCTGGGCAGCAGCAGCATCTCGAACCTAAGTCTTTCTAAGGATGCGATGCTGGAAGGACGTGCGTAAGAAGCGTTCCATGCCAGCGCCAAGTGCTCCGAAGGCAGCCAGCTGGTCTACCAGAGTCTCCTCCGAGAGCGCGCCGGCGACCGAACAGGCGGCACCCAGATGCCGATTCTTCGGCTCCTGGCGCCCGACTTGGGCCTTGCGAGCCACGTTGGCAAACGCATGGCAGCCACAGCAGCTCATCGCACGGCATGGACTCTGATGGGCTCTGGTTACATGGGCTTGGGACATCGTTTGTGACATCGCCTTTCGGAATGTGATGCTTGTGACAGCGACCTTCATTTCGTGCGGACAAATGTGCGTTTTGTGCATCGCAAATGCCAGTCATGCATCGCGAACCAGATTCTTGAGTATGGTGCCTGCGCTGGCAAGTCCGAGTACAGGCGCAGGTGCAAATACGCACATGACATATATATATATATATATATTTATATTTATATTCGCCGACCCCTTGTCTGCAAGGGAAGGGTGTCATCATCATCGGTGTCCTCAACATCTTCGTCACCATCGTAATCAAAACCATCATATCATCACAGTCATCGTCCTTGTCACCATCGTCATCAGTATCATCATCATCATAATCATCATGGGGGCCATAAGCGTTGTTAGGGCCACCATACGCGTAGTCGCCACTCGGCTTGCTTTTGTTGCTTATATACATAAAGGGACGTTAGAGAGCATTGGTGATGCGGATGCTACGATGATAGTTGTCATCACAGTCATCATCAACATCCTCCTTTTCCTCTCATCGTGATGATGGTCATCATCATCATCACTCTTCTCATCATCATCATGATGGTCATCATCATGTCTTTCTTATTCTTATAAACATTTCAAAGGGAACGTTAGAGAGTGTTGGTGATGCAGAGGATCCTACGATGATCGTACTCATCACAGTGCTCATATTTGTCAAGTTCGCCATGGTCATCATCTTTGTTTGGGTAGCATTGGGTGGAGAGGATGCTACAATGATAGCTATCATGACAGTCTTCATCGTTATCATCATTATCATCATGGTCATCATCATCTCTTATTAGGCAGCATTGGTGTGCTACGATGATAGTTATCGTCACAGTCATCATCATCATCGTCATCCTTATCATCACCATGATGATGGTCCTCTTCTCATCATCCTCATGGTGGCCATCATCATATCTTTCTTATTCTTATATACATCTCCAAAAACAGGTTTGAGAGCATTGGTGATGCAGAGGATGCTACGATGACAGTTATCATCACAGTCATCATCAACATCCTCCTTTTCCTCTCATCGTGATGATGGCCATCATCATCATCACTCTTCTCAGCATCATCATCATCATCATCATGTCTTTCTTATTCTTGTACACATTTCAAAGGGAACGTTAGAGAGTATTGGTGATGCAGAGGATCCTACGATGATAGTACTCATCACAGTTCTCATCGTTGTCAATTTCGCCATGGTCATCATCTTCTTTTGGGTAGCATTGGGTGGAGAGGATGCTACAATGATAGCTATCATGACAGTCTTCATCGTTATCATCATTATCATCATGGTCATCATCTCATCTCTTATTAGGCAGCATTGGTGTGCTACGATGATAGTTATCGTCACAGTCATCATCATCATCGTCATCCTTATCATCACCATGATGATGGTCCTCTTCTCATCATCCTCATGGTGGCCATCATCATATCTTTCTTATTCTTATATACATCTCCAAAAACAGGTTTGAGAGCATTGGTGATGCAGAGGATGCTACGATGACAGTTATCATCACAGTCATCATCAACATCCTCCTTTTCCTCTCATCGTGATGATGGCCATCATCATCATCACTCTTCTCAGCATCATCATCATCATCATGTCTTTCTTATTCTTGTACACATTTCAAAGGGAACGTTAGAGAGTATTGGTGATGCAGAGGATCCTACGATGATAGTACTCATCACAGTTCTCATCTTTGTCAATTTCGCCATGGTCATCATCTTTTTTTGGGTAGCATTGGGTGGAGAGGATGCTACAATGATAGCTATCATGACAGTCTTCATCGTTATCATCATTATCATCATGGTCATCATCATCTCTTATTAGGCAGCATTGGTGATGCAGAGGGTTCTACGATGATAGTTATCATCACAATCATCATCATCATCATCGCCATCCTTATCATCATCATGATGATGGTCCTCTTTCATCATCCTCATGGTGGCCATCATCATATCTTTCTTATTCTTATATACATCTCCAAAAACAGGTTTGAGAGCACTGGTGATGCAGAGGATGCTACGATGATAGTTATCATCACAGTCCTCATCCTTCTCATCCTTCTCATCCTTCTCATCACTGTCATCACAGTCATGATCATCTCTTAGTAGGCAGCATTGGTTATCATCATGGTCATCACCATCTCTTATTAGGCAGCATTGGTGATGCAGAGGATGCTACGAAGATAGTTATCATCACAGTCTTCATCCTTTTCATCCTTGTCATCACGGTCATCATCATCTCTTATTAGGCAGCATTGGTGATGCAGAGGATGCTACGGTGATAGTTTTCATCACAGTCATCGTCATCATCATCCTTATCATCTTTATGATGATGGTCGTCATCATCATCATCACTCTTCTCAATCATCATCATGATGGTCATCATCATCTCTGTCTTATTCTTAAACACATTTCAAAAGGGACGTTAAAGACCATTGGTGATGCAAAGGATGCTACGATGATAGTTATCATCACAGTCCTCATGCTTATCATCATTCTCATCATGGTCATCATCATCTCTTATTAGCCGGCATTGGTGATGCAGAGGATGCTACGATGATAGTTATCATCACAGTCATCATCATCATCATCATCCTTCAAAAATGCGTGGACATGATTCTCATGATGACTGCTGGCGCTGCTGAGGATGCGTCATGATGATTATCAGCCGATTTGATCTCAACATCATTGGCTTCTTCATCATCCTTGTCACCATCGTAATCAATATCATCGTATCATCACAGTCACCGTCCTTGTCGCCATCGTCATCAATATCATCATCATAATCATCATCATCATCATGGTGGCCATACGCGTTGTTAGGGCCACCATAAGCGTCCATCGTGATGCGCAGCCTTTAAAAAAAAAAAGGCCCCACGCGCACAATCAGTTGCGTGCTTCGAACAGATTGCAGTAAACTGAGGCTGCCGGCGCGGGCGGCGGTGCGTCAGCAACGTAAATCCGGCCGCGCCCCCCGAAGGGGGCGAAGAGGCTGTGTGTAGATCCCTCCCACCCGCTGGGGAGGGGTTTACCCCTCCCCTTACCCCTCCCCACAGACGTGCCCCCCTGTGCCGCCGACTTTCTTTCCCCCATATGTATCAGCCCATAGTGGGACACAATTCACTGGAAAACACTGTGCTTTTCTACGCTTTTGACGGCTGGAAAGGCGCAAAATGTGGTTTTGGGCATGGTTTTCGCTCAAGACATGAGCAAAACACTGTGGATTTTGACACTTTCGCTTGTTCGCAAGGCCTCGGAAAGCGTGAAAAACATGTTTTTTTGCGGAAACCTGCTTATTGGTGAGGCTTCACTGGCCCCCGCCAAACCCGGCTTTGGAGAGGGTTTGAGAGCTCAAGTCTGCGCAGCCTGCGCGTTACTACTGCGCACTACCATGTTTTTTGCCACACGCTTCTGGCACTGCTTCCTTCCGCAAACGTGCCTCGCGCAAGTTGCCCCGTGCTTCGAACAGATTGCAGTAAACTGAGGCTGCCGGCGCGGCCGGTGGTGCGTCAGCAACGTAAATCCGGCCGCGGCCAACTGGCCGAACGGCTGTGTTCTTTGGAGCAAGGCTCTAGAGCGAAGCTCTATGGGGCTGCCGCGTGCCGCCGACCCTTTGCGTGCCGAGGATGCGTGAAAAGGAAAGTGATGAGCATCACCTGCATCATCTGCTTCTGGCGGGCGCGTTTTTGGGTTGCGGCCTTGCCCCGGTGATGCGGGTGATGCTGGCACTGCTGCGGATGTTGCTGGGAGCTGCCTTCACACACACGGCGTCCTGCTGCAGCCTTGAAACGCCGGAAACACACGTGAAAATGTCAGCTTTTACTGCAAAAAACAAGGAAAACGTTTGGTTCTGACATGCGTTTTGCGTGGCAACTGGCCCAGGCGTGCGTGCGTGCGCACGCAGGCGCGCGGGCCTGCGCGCGTGCGTGCGCGCGCGCATGCGCGCGTGCTTGCGTGCGTGCATGCGTGCGTGCGTGCGTGCGTGGGTGGGTGGGTGGGTGGGAGGGTGTGTGTGTGTGTGGGGTGCTTGCGTGACGTGCGAGTGCGTGCGCGCGTGTGTGTGTGTGTGGGGGGGGTGGGTGCGTGGGTGCGTGAGCGCGTGCGCGGGTGGGTGGGCGGGTGTGTGTTGTGCATGAGTCTGGTGTGTGTGTGTGTGTGCCTGTGTGTGGGTGCGTCAGCGCGCGTGCGTGCCCGCGTGTGTGCTTGTGCGCGCGTGCCTGCGTGCGGGCGGGCGGGCGGTGAAGGGGATATGGCGAAATGACGGGAAATGGCTAGAAAATAGATGGGAAATGTGGAAGATGGATGGAAAACTGAAGGAAGATGTTTGGAAAATGGATGTGTATGTGTGCAAGTAAGGAAATGTAGGTATGTTTCTGTTGTTGTTGTCGCTGCTGCCTGCTTCGCCGTCCTTGCAAGATCTGTGAGGTTGAGCCTCGCGATGCTGCCGCGGCCGGTTGTGCGCCAGCAACGTAAATCCGGCTACGCCTCCTGGGGTAGCATGTCGCCGCTAGGCAATTAGCCTGCTAGCTTTAGCTATAGGGGGTGCACCCTGGCGCCGCCGACCCTCGCCACTTGGTCGTGATGCGCTGCCTAAATCCAGCACCTCTGCGTCACCAGCTCGGGCTTGCGGTTTTGCTTGCCTGTGGGAAACCCTCGCAAAACATCGCGTATATGCAGGGTTTAGGCCATGTGGCTGACATCGTCAGGGTCTGGGGTTGGGCCTGGGTGATGCTTCAGCGGGGCTTGGTCTGCATCATCAAGACTTCCTTCCAAAAAGCCTCTCAACCCATGAAGCACTGCTTTTTTAGAAGGTATCGGAGGGATATAAGCGAGGCTCACTTTTGCGCATTTTGGCGCCAAGCGCTGCCAGGCATGCCGGCGATGCTGGGCCCTCGCTCTCCAAAACGCTGTAAATACCGCCAAAAACAGCTGCGCTGGGCTGTTGTTCTGTCCGTTTTGCTCTTGCTGTGGCTGGCTCGTGCGCTGCGCGGTCCTTGCTTTATTCCCGTTGGTTTTCGGGCCTTCTGGCGCGCGCGCGCGCGACCCCAGCCACAAAACGCTGCTATTTGCGGTGTTTTGTTGCGTTTACATTTCCGGGCTGGTTTGCGGGCTGTTCTTTTTGGGCTGCTGTTTCTGGGGCCTCTGGCGCGCGCGCGACCCCATGTCAGCCTTCTGGGTTGGGGCCTGGCTGGGGCCCAGAAAGCTGGTATCCCCGGCATCATCTGGGGTTGGGGTGGGCAACATGCAAAGCCTAACCAGCCATAACATAGCACAGGATACGTTTCTCATACAAAAAACATGAAATGACACGGTATAACTTCAAAGATGCGTAGCCGGCTAGAGGCCGCAGGCCCAGAAAATATAGATGCTTTTCAATATTCTGAATTTTCACCAATGCAGCGCCGCGATTGCAGTGAGTTCCCGTTCAACCGGAGCGCGAATTCGACATGGCCACTGCGCCTGGGCTCTGGGACTGCCGCTTGCAATGTTGGCAAGGCACTCAGGCTGACCGAACTGGGAGGGAACTAGGATGCTTCAGATTTTGGACCATGCTCAATGGCCCCGAAGCACAGCAAAAGAAGCGTAGTGACAACTCAGCTGGATGAACTCCAAGCTTTGGCACTTGCATGGTATGCGCACAAACTTGCCAAGTCACTCTCATTCAAATACTTGCGGCGCGGGTCCAAGTTGCCAGGCAACTTCCTTATAGTCCAAGTTCTAAGCGCTTTGGATGCCTGCGGCGCGAGCTAAGGCATCGTCTGCCAGGATGGGCACGGAAAGCATGCTCAATGCCTGCCAAGATGATGTCTGTTCTGGCTCACGCAGCCGAGTCGGGCCAGCATGAAGAACGCTCTCAGAAAGGGATTGCCCCTGACCTTGGCCACACATTTGCATCATGCCCATACATGAAGTCTATCATCCGTGCAAGCCATTTTCAGAGCAAACCAGGCTGCGACTTGGAGGGTAACGTGAGCTGCAAGTTCACCTGACACCAACCTATTGCTTTGTCTGACAAGCCACTCACTCAAGCGAGCCTTGACCTATGGCAGCATATTCCGCATCCTCAAAACACGGCCATGCGAATGCGCATAAACATGTATGTACATCCTGTGCTGGAGGAAAGAAACACATGTTGAAGTTGATACGAGCAAGTGATGTTCCCTCTGCAGGCGAGAATGGCTGCCATGGATGCGCATGACTTGGCTTGGGCTCTTGCAATGGGCCATGGGCCTTTGGCGGCACTTTCGTCCAGACATACAGGTGTTGGGCCTAGCGGAGTCTAGCTGTAAGCTACAAGATGCAGATGTCAAGACCCAGAAACAGACAAAAAGTCAGAGAGACGAAAGGCAAAGAGGCGCACAGGGCAAGCGAGAAAGCATACGAAGAAAGCCTTGGAGATCCTTCAGCACGATGTCCCACTCACCGTAATCAGCAACTCCCCACCTTGTGGCCGAAGGGCACTCTGAAGGCTTTGGTTTGGCTCAGAGTCTGTGACACTGAGGCAGGCCAAGACCAAGAGCTGGGCTCCTCCCACATGCTTGTCTCCGCCTTGCCCCTGGGGTGCTGGAGACGTTCTGGCGTCTCCTTCGCTGCACACGCGCTGCAATGCCCAGGCGGGTCGAGGTACTGACCTCATCCCTCAGAGGTCGCCTCCTGACACGTCGGTGAGGGACAGGGAAGGCAAACGGCGGGGAATGGAGTCGGGCCTTGTTGGCGTGCAAAAGTCAGGACCCCCGGCTGTCTGCATCGTCACTGGATGGCGAAGCTAAACAGCTACACAAGCGAAGCAACACATAGCTGGCACCCTTTGCAAGGTCAACTTGACATGGCTCGTTTGCGCAGCGGTCTTCACTGTCGCGGGGTGTGAAACCGAACAGGCCTTCCATTTGCCAAAAGCAAGACCAGGGTTGCCTGCTACGTTTGATGTTCAACGGGTCACTTTGTTGAATGATGTCAGCTTAAGTTGCGCTGGTCTTTGCTTCACAGTACATGCCTACATGCCAGCTTCGCCCGCATCCTTATGTACACTGCGGATCTGAGAACACATCCGGGAAGATCGCGGAGCAATGCCTCTCCGTAGGAAACTAAAGATGCAAATGCCGGACGAGAGGAACAGCTCATCTGTGGCTGTCCTATCGAAGCGTCGGGCCGCTTTCTCTTTCTGTAAACCATATTATAATGATTTCATTCCTTCATTCATTCATTCATTCATTCATTCATTCATGCATGCATGCATTCATTCAGTCATTCATTTATTCATTCATTCATGCATGAATGCACTCATACACTCATGTTTTCATGCATTCATACATTCATTGATTAATTCACTAGTTCATTAATTCAACCATTCATTCATTAATTCATTCATTCATTCATTAATTCATTCATTCATTCATCCATTCATTCATGCATGCACTCATACACTCATGCACTCATGCATTCATGCATTCATTGATTCATTCATTCATTCATTCATTCATTCATTCATTCATTCATTCATTCATCCACTGATTCACTGATTCACTGATTCATTCATTCATTAATTCATTCATTCATTCATTCCATTCCATTCCATTCCATTCCATTCCATTCCATTCCATTCCATTCCATTCCATTCCATTCCATTCCATTCCATTCCATTCCATTCCATTCCATTCCATTCCATTCATTCATTCATTCATTCATTCATTCATTCATTCATTTCATTGATTCATTCATTAATTCATTTCATTCATTCATTCATTTCATTCATGCATTCATTCATTCATGCATTCCTGCATTCATGCATTCATCCATTCATTTCCTGCATTTCTTCATTCATTAATTCAATCAATCAATCATTTAGCGCATGTCATTTCATGTCATGTCATGTCATTTCATGTCATGTCACTAACTCCTTCATTCATTGGTTCATGCAATGTTAATTCGCTTCATGTAATTTCATCTTATCACATCTTATCTTATCTCATCTCATGTCACTGCTTCATTATGTATTTCATAATTTAGCTGTGTTCATTCAGTTACGAAATGATTTCCTTCTCTATTTTCGGATCTCTGTAGTTATTTTTTCGGCTTCTGTCTGTCCTTCCTTGCGTAATTGTTTTTCACTTTTGTTTGTTGATGTTGGTTGTGTTGTATCTTTTTGAACTTGGTTCTTGCTGCACTTCTCTTTAGGCTTTTGTCTGTTTGCCTCTCTTATTGATTTATGTCTTTCGCTCTATTTCTGTCTTTCTCTGGCTCTGTCTTTCTTGCTCTCGCTCTTTCGCTCTTTCTTGCCTTCTGCTTTGTGTCTTTATTCGTTATTATTTTTGTCTTTCTTTATGCCGTTCTTGATTCATTTCTTGGAATCTTGAGAATTTCTTTTAGCGACTTCTCTTTTGCGTTAATTGCATGATGCGTTTTTACTTCTCTGTATTCACTTAATCTGCTGCCACCCGGCGCGGACATGACCCGTTTGCTTCAGACCCGCCCAACTTGTTGTTCAATCCCATTTCTGTCCTTCTTTCTTTCATTGCATTGTCCGTGGGTTTCCTTTTTCTGTTGTTTTCTGCCTCTTCCTTCTTGTTGCTTTTCGTTTCTTTCTTTCTCTCTGTCGTGTTGTATGTATGTCTTTCTTGCGCCCTTTCTTTTTGTATTTGTACATTTGCTTCTTTTAAATGTTGTTCCTGTTTCATTTCTCTTCCTGTGTCTTCTTTTTGCGTTTTTTCTTCATGACACTTCAGTATCACAGAATGAAAGCGTGCAAGCACCCAGCTTCTTTCTTTCACGGCCTGCGTTGCTGTTCAGCCACATCCTCCAGCAAAGGAAGGCTCCGTTTGACCTGGCCAAACCTCTTAAATGTTAAAATGGGCTTATACAGCGGGCTGCTATGTCAGATCATGAAGAGGGCTCTGAGCCCATAGACCTGCGTCACCCAGCACATTCCTAAATTCCCTTCGCACCTGAATGCTGCATTTATTTCTTCCTTCCGTTCTTAATGTCTGTACTTCTTTCCTGACTTGTGTACTTTATTTGTTCTTGTGTTCCGTCCGTGTTTATTTCGTCTGTTTTCCTTTTGCTGTTGACTTAGATTTCTTCCTTATTTCTTTCCTTCTTCCGTCGTATGTTGTCCTCTTTATTGTTGCCTGTTTTTTGTTGTTTCTTTCGCTTGATAACTCTTTCGTTTTTGGCTGTGTTCTTGCTTTGATTCATTACTTCCTTATTTCTGTATTTACTCAACTCTCTCTCTCTCTCTCGTTTTCTCGATCTCTGTCTCTCTCTCTCTCTCTCTCGCTGTGCTCTATGCACACGTCCTGCACTTCCGCCCAGGCTGTCCTTACCTTTGGCTCCTTCATCAACTGCCATGCTCTCATGCAAAACAAACGCGAGCAACGGTCAAACTTTCGTGGCAGTCTCATCAATAAAATAAACAGCATAGCGCTGCATGACGCAGTTGAAGTCAGCGCGCCTTCGGACTCTCGCTGTGCGCCTGGCCTGCGTGGCCTGCACTCTATGCAGGCTGAATCGAAGTTCCCGCACGAAGCGCCTCTCTCGGCGAAGCTCTCCATGACGCGGTTCGCCTGCCTAAGTGAGCTGAGTGCGCGAGCTGCCCTCTCAACGACAAAATGAAATGACATGAAGTGAAGAGCCTCAGCTCGGCACTTCAACTCCGCAACTTGAAGCTCCTTGAGCTGGGCGAAGCGCCGGAAGAGGCCTACACCTCACGGTTTGCAGGTCTTCGCACTTCAAGGCTGGCGCCCGCCTTCCTCTGCAGCCACCTGCCGCGAGACCAGCTCGGCCTCGGCCACCTGTGTCAAGCTCGAACAGTTTAAAGGCGAACGCAGTAACGCAGTGAGTTCTTTGAAGCTCGAATGCCTAAAACTTTCTTCGTTTTGGGCAAAGCCTCCTGACCCCGGAGCAGGGGTTTCACCGCCGCGTGCAGCTGCAGCCAGTCCACGGCCCACTCCTGTCGTATAGGACATAGAAAAGGGGACACCAATGTAGAAACAAGATGAAACGAGACGAAGGATTGACAAGGCTCAAACATGCCCAAACTCAGCAAAGCGCTCCTCCCTCTCCTTCTCAAACCGAATCTGCAAGCTGGCCTGCAGAAACGCAGGTCGCCCCAGCAGCGCTCCCCCTCCACCCCACTCGGATTGCACCTTCTCACTGTCGCACCAACTCTTCATTTTTGCCAACGCCTGGAATCAGCATGTGACATGTGGGTAAGGGGCGAGTCAGGAAACAGAGTCAGGAAACGGGTCGGACAAAGTCAGAAAACGGGTGGGTCCAAGTCAGGAAACAGGTTGGGTCGTGTCAAGAAATATGTAGATGTGGTGTTGTGAGTCAGGAAACGGCCCCGGAAACTACAGGAACAACGCGTCGGGGAGTTGTGAAAGGTTTGGAGTCAAGTGGAATAAGGTTTCGTGAGTCAGGAAACATCGGTGAGTCAGGTGGAAACTGCGGCGGGGCGTTATGAAAAGCTTGGAGTCAAGTGAATACGGTTTCGTGAGTCAGGAAACGACAGTCGTAAGTCAGGAAACAGCCCCGGAAACGACAGGAACAGCGTGCCGGGGCCCTCTCAAAAGTTTGGAGTCAAGTGAACAAGGTTTCGTGAGCCAGGAAAAGACTGTGAGTCAGGAAACGACGAAGAAACGACAGGAACAGGGCCGTTGTTCGGCTTCGGGGTTCTCGTTTTTGTAAACGCGATGTAAAGCCTTCTTTCAAAGCTCGTTTTCTATTTGGTGGGGGGGGGCGCAGCCCCCCCCAACCCCCTTGCTTGTTTATAGGGCCGTTGTGCGACCTTTGTGATTCTGTTTTACAATCACACCGATTGCTCCACTAGTGTCCTTCTTTGTTTTAAACGCTGAGAAACTAAACCTAAGCCCTAGCCATAAACACCTAAGCCTAACCTTAAGAACCCTAAACCGAAACCCTGAGAACCCTAAGCCTGAGCCCTAAAACTTGAAACCTGAACCTTAAAAGCCCTAAACCTAAACCCTACAAACGTGAACCTAACCCTAAGCTTAAACCCTAAAACCTTGAAACGCAAGCCTTTCCTTGACCCGGGCCAAGACGACATCAAGGCACAATGCGCAAAGCAAAAGGACAAAGCATGCAGTGGCTTCTGCATCTTTTGCATTGCGGCCAGCATCACGCATGTCTCTGCATGCCTCCCCTCTCCCCTGATTTCGAACAGCTTTGCACGCCATGTTCCTTGATCCGAGCCATGACGGTATCAAGGAACGATGCACGAAGCACGCGTCAGAGCGCAAAGCACGCAGTGCCAGACTTGCATCCCAGCACCGCCAATTCAAAAGCACTGACCAGATCATTCCTGAATCGCGCTTCTTGACTCACGACTCACGTTTTCGCGTTTCCTGACTCACTTTTGCTGTTGTGATCTAAATATTCATCGCTTTCATTCTTGACTTGCCTCCAGTTGTTTCTTGACTCGCCCCTGTCCATTTCTCGACTCATAATTCCTGACACGGTCATTTGTTTCCTGACTCGGTCTAGTCTCTGTGACATGTTACCCCCGCAAGAAGCTCCTGCGCCCTTCCGTACCAGACTTTGCCATATCATTCGCAATGCCCTCTCTTCATACGTTCAGCTGTGCCCCATTCCCTGTCCTTCTCGTGACGCTCAGTGAGGCGAGTGAGACCTGCTTCATGCATCAGTTGCTGGGCCTTGCAACGTCACCATTGCACAAAGCTGCACAAACTGTACCTGCGCAGAACTTCCGCGCTGCCTGCCAGTCACAGCGACGCCGCTCCTCCTGCTGCTGGGACGCGTGCCGTTCTGCCTTCAGCCATCGCGAACTCAGCCCGACCGTTGCTCAGTGAATGTGTCTGCGAGCCGACCTCCAGACTCTTTCCCATGACTTCTGCCTGCATATTTGGAAATGATTTGCACGCTGTTTGGTCCTCAAAACATTGACTCCACATCCTTAAATCACTGACTGAACGCAAAAACAGCTATATTCTTGCCGTCCCCATTCTGCTCAGGGATGCTTCTCAGCCCAAATTGGAGGCTACCCTGTGCGAAGAGAATGTCTTCAATGCTGAACAAACAAGTCAGCGTCCCCAGCGCCCTTGCCTCCGTGCGAAAAAAATATTTTGCCCTTGCCTGCGCTGCCTCCTGGCTTGCAAATAGAACGCAAGACTATCAAACCCCCGGCGCGGCCAGGATCCAGCAAGTTGCGCGAATCTGGCGCTGTCAAAAACGCCACAGCAACAGGAGCAGGCACTGGCGTGCTTTTGCGCGCGCGTTCGGGTAAATTCGCGCGCGCGTGCGCGTGGGTGGGTGGGCGGGTGGGCGTGTGTGCGCGTGCGTGTGCGTGCGTGCCGAGTCCCAGAGCCACCCTGGGACCACGCTTCATTTCCCGGAACTGTTCGTGAACTTTCCATGAGCTTTCCAGGAACTGCCCGTGGACTATCCAGGAAGTTTCCATGAACTTTCCATGAACTTGACAGGAACTGTTCGAGGACTATCCATGCAGGAACTTTCCAGGAACTTTCCATGAACTTGACAGGAACTGTCTTTCTACGCGGTTCTCTGAATTTTCTATGATTATCCATGATGTTCCAACGCGTTTCCTATGCGTTTCTTATGCCTTTTTGTGGTAGACCAGGTCACTTGTCTAGCACCTATCCTATCAAGAGGGTCAACGCGCTTGAGGAAACAGATGCGAATCAACACTCATCCTGGTTGGCAGAGGAGTCGGAGAACTTTGCGCGCTTCGGCGACGCCGTGTTCGAGGACCCTTTGAATTTCTTGGGAGACTTGGAGCGCGAACGCACTTTGGGACGATGCGTGGCAGCATGATGCTTGGTCTTGGGAGTCGGTACCAGTCACTGTTGCTAGATGCCACGCCACTTTCAGTAATTGTTTACTTCCTGGAGATGTGCGCCAGCTTTTGTGGAGATCATCATGACCGGAACTGAGCAGGAGGTCATCCCATTTGACCTCACGACTTTGCATCATAGCACGCAGGGCGGGCACACTTTTTGGACGACTGTGCGTTGTACCTTGCGGTTGGGGCTTTGGACCGAATTTGGAATGACTTTCGACTGTGGTCATACCGAGCAAGATTGAATCAAGATCAGGCGCTTTCAGTGAGGCGACTAGTAGGACTGGGCCACATTGACTATCTTTCAGCGCAAGATCAAGCATTTGGATGCTCACTTTCAATTTCAGCATTCTGGCAATGTGGTTTGCAAAGGACTTTGCAGATTTTCTACCAGCCTCTCGCAGTGTTGAATTTCAGATCATCATACGAGACTTTGCTACACTGGGCTCTTCAGAAGTCAACCTTTGGAACCGACACGTCGACTGCTTTGTAAAAGTCCAAATTCATCTCAACTTTGAGACTCTGGCGGAACTCACTTCCCAGATCACTTTCCCAAGCTCGTCTAGGTTCTTGATCTACTTTGATCAGATCGCGCAATGGGACTTTGCGCTTGATGGTCACTTGGTTTGGCCTTGGGATGTGTGCAGAAGACTTTACAGAGATCCCAGCACAGAGGAACATGGGGCTCCTAAGACTTTGCTCACACTTTACCAACGCTTCACTTTGAACCAGTTTTGCGCGTGAGAAGAGCTTCGCACTTTGTTTACAAGCTCAACAGAACTTTGGTTGAGCTGTCGATGGGTTAACTCATGAGAGCTGTCCATCAGAAATGGGAGTGACTTTCTAAGGCGACTGCAATAGCGCCTGCAGCAGGACCTTGATGCCAACAATACTCTTGTCCCACTTTTTGCATTTACTGTTGCAGGACTTTACCACGTGGGAAACAACTGTTGCAGATTCAAAACTTGCCGCTTGAAAAGTATCCAAGGGAGCGTGTCAAATATACACTTTTCCCCATACCTATGTCATGATGCAACTGCCGCTTTGGTGGCTCAAGACTTGCACCAAAGAAAATGCGCTGCGCCACTGCACATACTTAGGTTAGTGTTTGGTGTGACTTGAGAGTCCTTGGAATTGTTCAGTTTTGCTTGTTTGTTTGTGTTTGTGTGTGTGATTGTGTGATTGTTTGTGCGTTTGTTTGTTGGTTGATTTGTTTATTTTGTTTTGTTTGTTTGTGTTTGTGCGCTTGCTTCCTTGCTTGCTTGCTTGCCTGCTTGCTCGCTTGCCTGCCTGCCTGCCTGCCTGCTTGCCTGCTTGCCTGCTTGCCTGCTTGCCTGCTTGCTTGCCTGCCTGCCTGCTTGCTTGCTTGCCTGCCTGCCTGCTTGCTTTCATGTGCTTTCTTTTGCTTTCTTTTGCTTGCTTGCTTGCTTGCTTGCTTGCCTGCCTGCCTGCCTGCCTGCTTGCTTGCTTGCTTTTGCTTGCTTGCTTGCTTTTGCTTGCTTCCTTGCTTGCTTTTGTTTGCTTGCTTGCTTGCTTTTGTTTGCTTGCTTGCGTGTGGTCGCATCTGCATTTGTGGCTTTGTGTGTGTGTGTGTGTGCTTGTGACTGTTGCGTGTGTTGTTCGTACGGAAAAGAGTGCGGTCGTGCATGCGAGCGTTCAAGCAGGCATGCCACGCGCTGTTAGCGCCCATTGCAAACTGAATTCGACTCAGGCTTGGAACAGTTCCCATCGGCGCACTTTTGATGTGCTGACGTGCTCACATCGTAAAGCATGCTGCGCTGACGCAAATTCGCAGGGTTCAAGACATCCCACACCCACACACGGACACTGGCGCTCGGAGTCTCCCCTTATGCTCAGGCACGGGAAAACATCCTTCGAATCCACGATCTCCATGAGAGTGTCTTGCGCTCGGCCCAGCTGAACAGTGAGAACCAAACCAACTCCCAGAGTTTCAGAGCCATGTCTGAGTGTTCCTGGCCTGTCCTCAAAGTGGCCATGACTCAATCCCCTTTCCAAATGTCCGGCTCCTCCAGCCGCAGTTCAGCCAGATTCTTGCGCAGCTCCATGGCCTACGTGCGAACAACCCTTCGCTGACAGACTTTGGCAATGGGTCAGACCTCCTCACTCAAAGCCTCAGCTTTTTGCAAACGCTCCTGCCAGGGCGCAGGGCCTTTCTTGCCAAACGCACCCGGCACCTCCAGGCCCGGAAAGCTTTGCAGCTGTTGGCCCCTGGGCAAAGTACTCAAGGAAGATGGAGTGCGCCAAAGGCGTACAAGGTTCATCTGGCAATGCCGCTCACTCATACTGGTCTATGTATAATATGCATACTTATACTTATAATCAGAATGTACTAGCCCAATCGGCCTTTGCATTTCCAGCTCCCGCTGCTCGGCCACCTTTGCAGATGCCCCCGGCAAGATTGCGGGAAGCAAGGTTTTCTCAAATGGCACCTCTGCGAGCTGCTTCGAGCGCTGCGCGCTTTCCAAGACCTCGCTTCACGCAATCGGCGATGCTCGGTGAAGCCCTTGCACTCAATGGTCATGCATGGTCATGCGCGGTTCGTGTTTCTTTTCTCCTGGCTGACCAGACCCACCGTAGCTGGTGTTATGAGCCAAGTTTCAGGCACGTCACTGAGCTCAAACAGTTGTTGGCGTCAGATGCCCGAGCTGGAGCCAGCAAGCCGCTGTTCGATTCTGATATGCCCATGCGAGGGGCATTGATTCCTCCATGGAAGCACGCAAGAGAAGCAGCGTTGCTTAAACAGGTCGTGCCGGTGCCTGTGCAAAGCCAGTGGGCACATAGCCCAAATTTACAGCATGCATTTTCACCGGTCCGTGTCGTGTCGTGTCGTGTCGTGTCGTGTCGTGTCGTGTCGTGTCGTGTCGTGTCGTGTAGTGTAGTGTAGTGTAGTGTAGTGTAGTGTAGTGTAGTGTAGTGTAGTGTAGTGTAGTGTAGTGTAGTGTAGCGTAGCGTAGCGTAGCGTAGCGTGCGTGCGTGCGTGCGTGCGTGCGTGCGTGGGTGGGTGGGTGGGTGTGTGTGTGTGTGTGTGCGTGTGCGTGTGCGTGTGCGTGTGCGTGTGCGTGTGTGTGTGTGCGTGCGCGTGCGCGTGCGTGTGCGTGTGCGTGTGCGTGTGCGTGTGCGTGTGCGTGTGCGTGTGCGTGCGCGTGCGCGTGCGCGTGCGCGTGCGCGTGCGCGTGCGCGTGCGTGTGCGCGTGCGCGTGTGCGTGTGCGTGTGGTGTGGGTGTGGGTGTGGGTGTGGTGTGTGTGCGTGTGCGTGTGCGTGTGCGTGTGCGTGTGCGTGTGCGTGTGCGTGTGCGTGTGCGTGTGCGTGTGCGTGTGCGTGTGCGTGTGCGTGTGCGTGTGCGTGTGCGTGTGCGTGTGCGTGTGCGTGCGTGCGCGTGCGCGTGCGCGTGCGCGTGCGCGTGCGCGTGTGCGTGTGCGTGTGGGTGTGGGTGTGTGTGGGTGTGCGCGTGTGCGTGTGCGTGGGCGTGCGCGTGCGCGTGTGCGTGTGCGTGTGCGTGTGCGTGTGCGTGTGTGCGTGTGTGTGTGGGTGTGTGTGTGTGGGTGTGCGTGTGCGTGTGCGTGTGCGTGTGCGTTACGTGTGCGTGTGCGCGTGTGCGCGTGTGCGCGTGTGCGCGCGTGCGCGTGTGCGCGCGTGGGCGTGTTGGCGCGTGTGCGTGTGCGCGCGTGTGCGCGTGTGCGCGTGTGGGCGTGTGGGCGCGTGTGGGCGCGTGTGCGTGTGGGCGCGTGGGCGTGTGTGCGTGTGTGTGTGCGTGTGTGCGTGTGTGCGTGTGTGCGCGTGTGTGCGTGTGTGCGTGTGTGCGTGTGTGCGTGTGTGCGTGTGTGCGTGTGCGTGTGTGTGCGTGTGTGCGTGTGTGCGTGTGTGCGTGTGTGCGTGTGTGTGCGTGTGTGTGTGTGTGGTGTGTGTGGTGTGTGTGTGTGTGGGTGTGTGTGGGTGTGTGTGTGTGGGTGTGTGTGTGCGCGCGCACGTGTGTCATGTGGTTCAGGTCTTGCTGCACTGGCTCTGCAAATCTCATCTGCGGCAGCTTCAGGCACTGGGCTGGCTCAGTGATGCTTAGCACACTCCACTTGCAGCCTTGTCACACGAGAAGATTCGCTTCAAATTCCAAAGTTAGGAAAGTCGCCCAAAAGAAAACCACGCTAACATTGCAAGAAACAACCACTTTACTGAAAAAGCACGGACCTGGTCTCACCTTGGAAGTTGAGTCCCAGGCTCATGTGCGCACACCCAAAAGCTCTGCGCAAATTATGCTCCGCGATCAATGAAATACGCGAGCAAGGAAGCCGCCGAATCAACTAACTGGCCATCCAAGAAACCAGTCATTTCGGAAGTATCCTACCCAGCCAAACCAGGCAGCCAACCAACCAGCAAATCCCTACCTTTCCCACAAGCATGCCCACAACCCGGAGCAGGAATGTGGAAGTCTGCAATCCTGTTTTCAGCGCCAAACGGCTCTCTTCCCGTTTCAAACACCACTGACAACACACATCTTGAAGCGTGCTATCCGACTTGTGCCAAACCTTGACCTCCCTCAATTCCGTAGTCTTTAGAATCTTTGCCTCTGCATGAGCCCTAGATCTGGGCCAACACAAAGAAAGAAAACATAGTGCAAATGGCAAGTAGGAACCACAAATGTTCTTCACAAACTGCAAGACAAAAGCTACCTGCTACCCCAAAGCATACCGCGTGTGCACTGTGAATCCTGAGGCAGGGTCAAGGTGCAAATAAAACTTGAACGTAATCAATCCTGATCCAGTGCCATACATTTTGGAGATGATGCCAAAACTGGAACATATTGATTCTTAAAGTTTGCATCAAGGCGGGGGGAACTAAAAGCCGCAGCCCAAGAGAATAACAAGGTATGCATTGGTATGCATCATGATACATTTGGACATTCGAATTAGACACAAGACCACGTTGCAGCCACCAAGTTCAAGCGGTCAATTCCATATCGCAAGTGATCAACCAAAGGTCAAGCAAGGCCAGAGTGCAGATCCGCGGCCTTCCAAGACGTGCGGGGAAAAAGCATCCGTGCCGCAAACGATGACGCATCTGTTGCCATCTCTGGCCGGCGCTCCGAGAGTGCGCAAGGCGACCCCGGAGGGAAACTGCAGGCCGAATCGGGTTGACCACCACATCCAGTTTTCAACGGCATCCGCTCTTGCGTTCGCAGGAAGTGACGAAGACATAAATCGGGAGTGAAGATCTCCGAGCTTTGCACAGTATCTGCAATACTTGCATCACTCCCAGCTGACGCGAACCGGACTGAAAGGCCCACCATTATGATTGGGCCGGATTCCCCACGCCACTATTTCAGCCACACTCAATGTGCGCCCATGACAAAATGACAATATGTCGGTGTGGCATGTCCAAAAATCGACTCACCAGTAATTATATTGACTGTGGCTGTATGGCAGGAAAATATTTGAGCCACGCTCGGAACCCAAGTTTAGTGGGGGGGCAGTCCTAGCCAAAAATAGGTGCGGTCTCAGATTGTTTGCATTGGGTGGACCCCTTTTGTACCAGGATTTGATTGCGACTTTGGGCTCAAGCGGAAGCTGGTCAGAGTCGGAAGACTTGCGGCTCCATGCTGGAAGATGCTGGTTCAAGTAATATGCCTGGGAGCAGCCTTGCCAAAGCAACTGATTGGCCTAGCTCAGCTTGTCCTCCATCCAAATCTTCCCTGACTTGATTCATTGTCCGAAAATACTCCTGCCAAGAAGAAGGAGAGACGAAGCAAGATTTGAACTGGAGCATTGCGACGACATTGCGATTCAAAGTTGCTGCGTCCTCGCGGGAAAGACTTGATATCACTGCCTCCCACGCTTCCTCGAAGCTTATCTCAACTCCGTTCCGAAACCTCAAAGCTTAGCTCACAATCAGCCCAATCATTCACAATCTGCTTGCTCTGCCAAATCCCTACCCTGGGCCAAGGACACAAGCGGTTGATGTGTTTGTTGGGCAGCGCGACGGCCGGACATGTGCAGGCACCTCAAGTCCATATATTCACGTGGATCGCCACAATTTGACTGCTCACGACCCGCTTCCTCCCATACTCAAGTTGGCAGGCAAGAGGCATGTTGTCCGCAAATCCCTGTGTCTTCGCCACTCCGAACGCCTGCACAAAGATTGAGCCACTTGCGTCACTTGCCACGCGTTGCATTGCAAGATCGAGGGCTGCACCAGCGGTGGTTGATCTTGAAGTCGATGTCCAGCCCATCTACAGAATGCTTCACGGGTCTCGCTCACCAACTCCATCCCAAAAAAATCCACACATGACGAGGCTGACAACTACAGGTTGGATCAAAACGGGGCTTGACAAGTTTCTGGCCACAGATGCGCAGTATGGTACGCGGACTTTCTGATAAAACACAAACCAAACTCCCTGACACCCAAGGAGGATGGCGCCCTCGCGGAGAATAAGTAGGACTGCAATCGCCACCAATAGAAGCAACCTCCCTTCTTGCTGGTCAGCAGGCAGCTTTGAAGGTGCTCCGGATTCTCAGCATTTAGAGCTTGTCTGGTGTTTATTCCTCTGTGCAATCAGGCTGCCATGCTTTGAGAAAGGCTTTTCTCACGTGCACGGGTTGAAAATACAAATCCACCTCAAACAGACCATACCACCGTAGTACCACCAGTCCAAAACAAATTGCCACTTCGAGCCATCCCCACCCAACTTTGCGCCGCCACTTTTCTGACGAATCTGAGCTTCGTCGGACCTCGCTGTTCTGGGCTTTTCTGTCAAGTTGCTCCGACTCCGGCAAGCTTTTTCCGATGTGTTTGCGGCCAGTTTGTGCAAGCTTTCCGCCCAGTTCTGCCGAGCTGTTCTGCCCAGTGGTTCCAGCGCAATTTTCTCTTTCTGAGTTCTTCCCGCTCTTTCAGACAATATTTTCCGAGTTGTCAGCGCCTCTCCAAGTTTCTACGGCCAGGTTTTCCGACTCCGGCCAACCTTTTCCGATAACATATGCCAGAAAGAAGGTATGCACAAACAGCTTGGGCAGTGTCGAAATCGTGCGCGCCCATCGCAAGATGAGGTATTTCTGGAGATCATTTCAGGCGCGCTTGGATAAATCGAACGCGCAAGGCGTTGATTCAGAGGCGATCCTTGCAGGCTGCGCTGGCATCAGTTGGCTGGACCTCTGCTGCGCAAGCTGGCACCAAATCCATGCCACAATGCTCGGCGATGTGGGTGTGTGTCTGTATTCAGTATTCACCGGGAACATCGAGACAACATATGTGCGCGCGTACCAAGTTGGGTGGGGGTCCCAGCTGCGCACTAATTCGCATCCCACCACTGCAGCCAGCTTCTACTACCAATGTTAGGACGATATTCTGGATGGCGAAGGGAGCGCTGTTGCATGAGTTGCATTTGGCGACGTGAAGCTATCTCCGTTGCCCAACCCTGCCTGGAGCGAAATCTGTGGGCAGCCGATTCAGAAGTGAAGTTGATGAATGCGTAACGGCTTGAACGTCGCTGTCTCAACCTGGAATCGACAAGTTCCACTTCCTCTATGTACCAGTTGTAGTGCCAACAGTACCAAGATTTGTCACACTGCATGATTTGCGATGTCCTGCCTGTATGGCACAAATACGAAGTCCACGTCTCCTGAAGGAAGGACAACTCTCCCGGAGCTTGAAGCAACACTGCACCTCATGAGGCTCCCACATAGCACCTGTCCTCCTGTTCCCAATGCATCAACAAGCCTGCGAGCGCTGAACCTCGCCGGGATATTGTGCAGCACATAGGTGAGAACACCCTGCGGGAGCGCATGGTGCGTTTGTCTCCGTCTCTGGTGCAGCACCTGCGGGGCCTCACTCCAAGACATCAAAGCCTGGGATTCGAATGCCAGGGACAGCGCGAAACTGGATGGGTGCGCCGGGTGCGCCTCGGGAACTAGACGAGTAGGCCACGGCGGCTCCAACGGTTGCACGTCCTGGCGGACTCCAATCCCGTACTTGTTCCCGATTGAATCATCGAAAAGTCCCATCACTCCCTGCGCAACCTAAGGTGAAACCATTGAGAACGGTCGCATGTTTGGACACTCCGAACATCAGCAAATCCAGGTGAACAGGTTGGTGCTGCACAAAGGATCCACCCGTGTTTCTCCAACATAGGGTCCCCTTCAGGTGGTTTCCGTCTATCCGAAAAGGGACGTTCTATTTAGACAAACATACGTGTGCCACGTTCAAACTTCCTCATGTCATGGTCATGGCTACACAAATAAGTCCAATGATGGTGGTCTCTTAATCCCGACTCATGGATCGATGACCACCATAACCTATGCTGGGGGCCGAAAGCAATCAGCCCTATGAGTTGGTCACGATTTCCGGTAGCCTATGGTCTAATATGGGTTTAGGACATAAGGCACTCTCAGAATATCTGACAAAATCTTGCGGGACTGAACACTGACATGGCTCTATGATCTTTAAGCACCCACACAAAAAGGAAACGCCTCTGAAAATTGGGCAAACGGAGGGGTGGGCAGGTGGGGACAGGACAAGAGCGGGATGGTTCTTGGAGGTGGCTTCCCATTTTGAAAGGTTCCATCCCTGCCTTCCCCTGTCCCTGCTTCTTTGCTTTTCTGAAAGAGGTCTCAGGCACTCAAAGCAAACAAGTTAAGGCCCCCTTGCACCAGCCTCCGAGTGAGCAGGGCCTGTCTCCTGGCACAGGCAGGTGGGGCAAGTTGGGGCGGCAAAGTCAGAACTTCTCTCCTGCCAAGGGATCCAAGCAGCTGCCCGGTATCGTCCGTGATCCGTCGGACCTGCGGGCAACGAAAAGCAACTTGTAGGAGGCTTCCGGCTCAATCGAGCGCACCTGCATACCAGCCCTGAGACGACCATTGATCTGGCCACTGCCCTTAGGGAGCAGGTTAGTCTAAACTGAGAGACGCGGCGCACACTTGCAGCCGGGCTGCCCAGGGTTGCCTCAATCGTCCAATGAAATGAAAATAGTCAGAGCTCGGACCAGAATCCTTCTGGTTGTTGTTGAGAGGCCATACCAATACGCTAAGCCGCTTTGCCAGTTGGCTTGTAACTGGCTCCGAAATGCATGATCAACATTATGGCCAGTCTCAGCACCCTCAATGCGGCTCCCAGCCTGGGGTCCAGCCCATGTTGGGTGGACAGGGTGGGACCTAGCGAAGGTTCGAATGAGTTCGAATTCAAAGGAAAGCTCTGTGCTCGCGCGCCTTTGCCAGTAGCCCTCGCGATTCCACTCCCGTTGGCTCCCATGAGAGCCCCATCTTGGCATGTGCGGCGCAAATGCGATGCCGCCCTGTCCAGCTTGGGTTCCCTGGAAAAATCCCAACTGCATCTCTCCGCGTCTCCAATTGGGCGACTCAGCTGGACGGGGCGGCACGCTCTGCTTCCGGACTACCTGTGGTCAACCATGACCTGTGAGCCCCGTGCAGCGGCACACGGAGCAACGGCAGGAAGAGAGATAGGAAGAGAGACAGGATCGGGATGACAAAAAGCCGAGAGAGAAGGAGAGAGAAAGAAAGAGAAAGAAAAAATAAGAAAGCGAAAGAGAGAAAGGAAGAAAGGGAGAAAGGGCGAAAGGGGGGAACTGTTGCAAAAAGGCGCCTGCCGCTTTCGCGCCACTTCCAGGCATCAGGAGTGCTTAACAGCCAACTGCTTGCAACTCGGCAACTCGGGCGGGCCTCGACCTTCTGGGAGAGCCACAACTCCTGGCAATCAACGGAACGGGAGTGCCAATGCCAACCCACTGCCAATTTGTCTCCTCACGCCGACGATGCCAGCAATGCAAAAAGTCTTTCTGCTCCTGCCAAGTCGTGAAAACCCTCTGGAAAATCCAATTTCATTCCAGGCCTCGAAGGCTCGTCGCAAGCCTCCGTCCAGCACTTGCTGCTGGGCGCTCACTTCCTTCCATTCCGGGGGATTGGGTCCGCGCTGAATTGCAAGACGCACTGCGCCTCCTCCAAGGAAGATTCCTGCTCTTTGCTTTCGCGGAGCTGAGCCCGGACCTGAAAGCATGGAAAGGGCACAAAGCCGTAAAGCTGACATGGCCTCGTTGCACACTGCTTCTTCCAACTGCAACAGGTCCTTTCGCAGTTCTCCAATTTCTCCATAAAATCTAAGGCAACATTTACATAACATTTACTCCATAAAATTCCGAATGTGCCCCACACACCGTCGCCGTATGGCTAACTCTCCTCGCTGCGGTGCAGCCGGCCCTCCAGCTCGGAGGCCCGTCGCTCAAGGGCGCCCACGGTGTCCCCACGCTGGCGGAGCTGCCCACGCCTTCGAATTCCGGAAATTGGAAATCGGCCGGGAAAGAAATAGAGATTGCTCACAAGGTGGCGTGGAAGCTTCAAGTTATCTACAGTCTGCCCAGTGACAAGGCCCTGTTGGAGTGGCAGCTCTCAGAGCTGAACAATCTTAAGGCGGAGCAGAAATCAAAAAGTTGGTGGCTTGGATTGAGTAAGCTCTGCCGAGAGCTGCGGAAAGTCTTGGCTGACCACTGCCGCAGCATCATCAAGAGCTTTCTGCGCTGGAGCGATTTCCCTACGCAGAACAAGAGACGTAGAATTCGGAATTTGGCTGTGTACTTGAGTCTTCAAACCCCTCGAAGAAGAAATTGTTCGAAGTCTTGAATGAAATCGAACAAGTCGAATGAGGTAGGCCTGGCTGGGGTATCAATGTTGGACTCGGAATTGATCAAACGGCCCTATCTTTGGACTTTTCGGGCTCTTCCAAGGCTTCCTGTTCGACCAAGATCCGTGCAAGGAGCAGCGCTCCGAGCGCCACTCTTCTCGGACAGTGCGGAGGTTCTGGGCTTCATCCTGAATGCGAAAGCTCACAAGGTCCAAGGAGACAAATTCTCCGTGAAGTCGGGAGCAAAGCATTTCGCGAGCATTCTGCCTCCAAGCACAGTTTACACTGCGCGTTTGTCTCCCAGCAAGCTGCCAAAGCCTGGCGAAATGCTTGCACATGCCTTCATGCCGACAGGTGCATGCGTGCCTCTTCTCCGCTGACCAGTCGCCCTTCAAGCTGCTCCAGCTGCTGAAGCCTTTTCTGCGCCAAAGTCTGTTCCTGCACGGCCGCCTCGCTCTCTTGTCGTGCGTCATGTCGCGCACCGTGCAGGGCTTCGGAAAGCTGCTGCTCCCGCTGCCTTGCCCGCTGCTCGGCCGCCCGCTGCTTCCGCTCCGCCCGCAGCTCCTCCGCGCGCACCGCCTCCGCCGCCTCCGCCGCTTTGAAGGCCTCCGCCGCCTCCGCTTCCGCCGCCTCCGCTTCCGCCGCCTCCGCTGCCGCAGCCTCCAGCTGAGCTGCTCCCTCCGCCTCCCGCAAAGCTTGGACCAACCTGAACGACTCCTGCATCCAGACGCTCTGCTCCTGGAGCTCACATCCGGGTCTCGCATGTCCACTGTTTTTGATGCGCCGCCTTGTTCTGGGTGCGCTCGTGCTGCAAAGCTTCCTCTGAACGAGTCAACCTCAAAATATATCTGATCACTGCCTGACCCTCTCCTACTTCCCGCCAGCTTCCCAATTCCAAGCATGGCAGCCTTCAACAAGAGCTTCTCTGGGAGAACCGAAGGACAAGGAGGCAATGCCAAGTGCTTTGCTCTCCTGAACTGCTCTTGGGCCGCCGCTCCTCTTGCAGCATCCGCTTCTCCTGCTTCGCCTGCTCTTGGAGGCTAGAGGCCTGCCGCGCACTCACGGTGAAAGCTGAAAACTTCCTACATCACAAAAGCGCGAGCGCACCTCTTGCCAGATTTTCCGTTCCTCCTCAAACTCGCGGTGGCCATCCTGCCATCAACAAAGTTCCGGTGATCTTGCCAACAGACCGCAAACGCATGCTCCAAATCTAAGGCTTTCATCACAAGGCGCTTGCTTCTGTTTTTTGCTCTACGTTGCTTGCTCATGCTTGTTTGCGGTGTGTGCTCTGCCACTTGCCCGCCTTGTTCTTGGTGCGCTCGTGCTGCAGAGCTTCCTCTGAACGAGTCAACCTCAAAATATATCTGATCACTGCCAGACCCTCTCCTACTTCCCGCCAGCTTCCCAATTCCAAGCATGGCAGCCTTCAACAAGAGCTTCTCTGGGAGAACCGAAGGACAAGGAGGCAATGCCACGTGCTTTGCTCTCCTGAACTGCTCTTGGGCCGCCGCTCCTCTTGCAGCATCCGCTTCTCCTGCTTCGCCTGCTCTTGGAGGCTAGAGGCCTGCCGCGCACTCACGGTGAAAGCTGAAAACTTCCTACATCACAAAAGCGCGAGCGCAGCTCTTGCCAGATTTTCCGTTCCTCCTCAAACTCGCGGTGGCCATCCTGCCATCAACAAAGTTCCGGTGATCTTGCCAACAGACCGCAAACGCATGCTCCAAATCTAAGGCTTTCATCACAAGGCGTTTGCTTCTGTTTTTTGCTCTACGTTGCTTGCTCATGCTTGTTTGCGGTGTGTGCTCTGCCACTTGCCCGCCTTGTTCTTGGTGCGCTCGTGCTGCAGAGCTTCCTCTGAACGAGTCAACCTCAAAATATATCTGATCACTGCCAGACCCTCTCCTACTTCCCGCCAGCTTCCCAATTCCAAGCATGGCAGCCTTCAACAAGAGCTTCTCTGGGAGAACCGAAGGACAAGGAGGCAATGCCACGTGCTTTGCTCTCCTGAACTGCTCTTGGGCCGCCGCTCCTCTTGCAGCATCCGCTTCTCCTGCTTCGCCTGCTCTTGGAGGCTAGAGGCCTGCCGCGCACTCACGGTGAAAGCTGAAAACTTCCTACATCACAAAAGCGCGAGCGCACCTCTTGCCAGATTTTCCGTTCCTCCTCAAACTCGCGGTGGCCATCCTGCCATCAACAAAGTTCCGGTGATCTTGCCAACAGACCGCAAACTAAGGCTTTCATCACAAGGCGCTTGCTTCTGTTTTTTGCTCTCCGTTGCTTGCTCATGCTTGTTCGCGGTGTGTGCTCTGCCACTTGCCCGCCTTGTTCTTGGTGCGCTCGTGCTGCAGAGCTTCCTCTGAACGAGTCAACCTCAAAATATATCTGATCACTGGCAGACCCTCTCCTACTTCCCGCCAGCTTCCCAATTCCAAGCATGGCAGCCTTCAACAAGAGCTTCTCTGGGAGAACCGAAGGACAAGGAGGCAATGCCACGTGCTTTGCTCTCCTGAACTGCTCTTGGGCCGCCGCTCCTCTTGCAGCATCCGCTTCTCCTGCTTCGCCTGCTCTTGGAGGCTAGAGGCCTGCCGCGCACTCACGGTGAAAGCTGAAAACTTCCTACATCACAAAAGCGCGAGCGCACCTCTTGCCAGATTTTCCGTTCCTCCTCAAACTCGCGGTGGCCATCCTGCCATCAACAAAGTTCCGGTGATCTTGCCAACAGACCGCAAACGCATGCTCCAAATCTAAGGCTTTCATCACAAGGCGCTTGCTTCTGTTTTTTGCTCTACGTTGCTTGCTCATGCTTGTTCGCGGTGTGTGCTCTGCCACTTGCCCGCCTTGTTCTTGGTGCGCTCGTGCTGCAGAGCTTCCTCTGAACGAGTCAACCTCAAAATATATCTGATCACTGCCAGACCCTCTCCTACTTCCCGCCAGCTTCCCAATTCCAAGCATGGCAGCCTTCAACAAGAGCTTCTCTGGGAGAACCGAAGGACAAGGAGGCAATGCCACGTGCTTTGCTCTCCTGAACTGCTCTTGGGCTGCTGCTCCTCTTGCAGCATCCGCTTCTCCTGCTTCGCCTGCTCTTGGAGGCTAGAGGCCTGCCGCGCACTCACGGTGAAAGCTGAAAACTTCCTACATCACAAAAGCGCGAGCGCACCTCTTGCCAGATTTTCCGTTCCTCCTCAAACTCGCGGTGGCCATCCTGCCATCAACAAAGTTCCGGTGATCTTGCCAACAGACCGCAAACGCATGCTCCAAATCTAAGGCTTTCATCACAAGGCGCTTGCTTCTGTTTTTTGCTCTACGTTGCTTGCTCATGCTTGTTCGCGGTGTGTGCTCTGCCACTTGCCCGCCTTGTTCTTGGTGCGCTCGTGCTGCAGAGCTTCCTCTGAACGAGTCAACCTCAAAATATATCTGATCACTGCCAGACCCTCTCCTACTTCCCGCCAGCTTCCCAATTCCAAGCATGGCAGCCTTCAACAAGAGCTTCTCTGGGAGAACCGAAGGACAAGGAGGCAATGCCACGTGCTTTGCTCTCCTGAACTGCTCTTGGGCTGCTGCTCCTCTTGCAGCATCCGCTTCTCCTGCTTCGCCTGCTCTTGGAGGCTAGAGGCCTGCCGCGCACTCACGGTGAAAGCTGAAAACTTCCTACATCACAAAAGCGCGAGCGCACCTCTTGCCAGATTTTCCGTTCCTCCTCAAACTCGCGGTGGCCATCCTGCCATCAACAAAGTTCCGGTGATCTTGCCAACAGACCGCAAACGCATGCTCCAAATCTAAGGCTTTCATCACAAGGCGCTTGCTTCTGTTTTTTGCTCTACGTTGCTTGCTCATGCTTGTTTGCGGTGTGTGCTCTGCCACTTGCCCGCCTTGTTCTTGGTGCGCTCGTGCTGCAGAGCTTCCTCTGAACGAGTCAACCTCAAAATATATCTGATCACTGCCAGACCCTCTCCTACTTCCCGCCAGCTTCCCAATTCCAAGCATGGCAGCCTTCAACAAGAGCTTCTCTGGGAGAACCGAAGGACAAGGAGGCAATGCCACGTGCTTTGCTCTCCTGAACTGCTCTTGGGCCGCCGCTCCTCTTGCAGCATCCGCTTCTCCTGCTTCGCCTGCTCTTGGAGGCTAGAGGCCTGCCGCGCACTCACGGTGAAAGCTGAAAACTTCCTACATCACAAAAGCGCGAGCGCAGCTCTTGCCAGATTTTCCGTTCCTCCTCAAACTCGCGGTGGCCATCCTGCCATCAACAAAGTTCCGGTGATCTTGCCAACAGACCGCAAACGCATGCTCCAAATCTAAGGCTTTCATCACAAGGCGTTTGCTTCTGTTTTTTGCTCTACGTTGCTTGCTCATGCTTGTTTGCGGTGTGTGCTCTGCCACTTGCCCGCCTTGTTCTTGGTGCGCTCGTGCTGCAGAGCTTCCTCTGAACGAGTCAACCTCAAAATATATCTGATCACTGCCAGACCCTCTCCTACTTCCCGCCAGCTTCCCAATTCCAAGCATGGCAGCCTTCAACAAGAGCTTCTCTGGGAGAACCGAAGGACAAGGAGGCAATGCCACGTGCTTTGCTCTCCTGAACTGCTCTTGGGCCGCCGCTCCTCTTGCAGCATCCGCTTCTCCTGCTTCGCCTGCTCTTGGAGGCTAGAGGACTCTGGCGCGCCCCGGGGCTATCTTAGGTTTAAGGCTCTACGCGACCATGAAGGACCACGAGCAGAACATAGTGCAAAGGCGTTCACTTCTTTGCCGTGTTGCGGCACTTGCGCTCATTTGCTTTCCATTGAGAAACCAAACGCTGCTTACACGCATACTTGGTCAGAATAGATCCATGTTCGGGACCAATTCGGCGCCTACTCCCAACCTCAATTGTCCTTTTTTGCGAAAGCAGCACGTGACGGCGGACCAGCTTCACATGATCAACCTACCGGTGAACGCTAAACTGCCTCCATCGTACGCCGGCCGTGTTAGTTGGTTTCGGTACGAAGATCTGGTCATGGGGCTGGATTACATTCACAAAAACGCATACACCAGGACGTCTTTTCAAGAACCGTCTCACACAACAAACTCTCTCTTATACCGCGACAATCAAACACCCAGACACTGCAGTGGGTTTTGCATGAGACCATTCCGTCTGGGAAACCAGATGCAAAGGGGCTTGCAGAAAGAACAGGAAGGCTCCTCTGCCAACTCCAAGAACATTGACATGAGCACCAGCTCCCAAACCACCCCCGCGTTCGTTGCGAATCTACGGGAAAACAGCTCCAACTCCGTTCCAGAACAAGCACATTGGAACCGTGTCAGAAAGCAAAACTTCACACGAAGACAACTCTGCAGGTAGTGCAAAATTTCAGCCTTGACAGTTGGAACTTCCGGTGGCTCCAGAACAGGATTTGACGTCATGACCTCCAAGGGGCGACACCGATCATGGAGATCAAAAAGGAGAGAAGCGCCCGGTGTCGTTTTCATCGCCGAACATGCAGAACATCCAGCAAAGCCAACAGAAAAAGTCTGGGAGCTACAATCCGGGTCAAATTTGTGGCATCAACTGCAAGATATCAGTTGCAGCACACGAAGTATCGTCATTGAGAACCCTCAGACATCCAGAATCTGGTCTTTACACTGCGCTTCTCTCAGACTTGGGGGGATTCTCATGTCTGCGCTTACGGACTGAGAGATCCTGAATCAGGGGACACTGCAAGAATTTCACTAGCTCTGTGAAACATGAGAATCAGCCACTTGGAAGCAGAACCGAATCAGCAGGTGTGTGCGTATCAGTTCTGCCAGGATCTCGCTCACATCTTTTTGCGCCACCTCGAGGCGAAAACAAGGTCGCCGATCAGCAGGTGCAAGGAGGTGGATGTCAAGATCTCCCGTTCGTTCAGTCAACAAGCTCATCCGTCCGCCCAGAAGTTCAGAATCATGAAATCCAGCAAGCACAGAGGTTGATCTTCTCTGGCAAGATGCAAATGATGTGGGATGGAAGCACTGCGCTTGCGGCGGATCGGCTTGGTTGATTGCTGGTCCTCTGACCTTGTGAAGCGATGAACGCACGATCGCGTGCCATTGTGTTGGATCATCCCAATCGCATCTGCGCGGGTGTGACCCAAATTCTGTTCAGCTGGTCTGGCTGCCAAAAGAATATGCGCGCGCCATCCGGCGGCGGTGCGAGTGGCATGTTGATTCGTACAGCCACACAGCACACGCCCTCCTTCCAATCCTCCCGGCCAGATCAGCCAGCCAGATCATCCTACGCGCCAGCCAATCCACGAGGAGGTGTGTCACCAGACAGTCCAGTCGAGCCACTGTCACCTCTGCCGCACAAAGGGACAAACGTCAAAAGCAGTCGGTTTCGTCCTGAAGCGGACTCAACCGCCTAGATGTTTCTTCGTTGGTGCCATCACCACCAATAACTTTGAACATCGAACTGCCTCATATTGAGCAAGCAGAAATACAGCAACCCCAATATTGTAATTCTCCGAAGAAGCCAAAAAATGAATGTTCCACCATCTGCACGGTGCGTCATTCAGCCTGTAGGCAAGCTTCTTTTCACCCACGCACCGATGCTCATGT